GACCAAAAGTCCACAGGCCAAAGCTCTATCCACTGAGTCAAACTGGCTAGGGCTGGAGAACAATAAATTTAAAGACTGCTGAAGGGAGGAGAACCACAGAGTTGAAGCGTCCCTTTGCACAGTCAACTCCTGGAATTTCTTGGAAGATGGTTGTTCCATTAGTTACAAACCAAGAGAGCATTTCCAGAAAGATAAGCCCATTGCTGCTGCTGTTTTTGGAGCACTGACTAGTGCCAATCATCATGCTAGACACTTATATAAAGTCACCTAATCCTTCAACTTCTCATTTTACATATGATATAACTAAGTGGTTGGCTCTGGGTCACATAGGAAGTTCAGAGCTCAGGAGACCCAAGTCTATCTAACTCCAAAGCTAAGTTCTAAAAACAGACCTTAAAAATTCTTAATTTTATATAAAAGTTTAAACCAAAAGTGTAAAGAATAATACAGGGTACACCCCACTCAGCTGAAGAAATTGAATTCTTGCCCAAGTGTACAGAGCATCGGCCTGGGGACTAAGAGGTTCCAGGTTCAATTCTGGTCAAGGGCACATGCCTGAGTTATGGGCTTGATTCCCAGTAGAGGGGCATGCAGGAGGCAGCCCATCAATGATTCTCTCTCACCATTGATGTTTCTCTCTCTCCCTCTCCCTTCCTCTCTGAAATCAATATATATATTTTTTTATATTTCAATATATATTTTAAAGAAATTGAATTCTCTCACAACACCATTGCAGTCCCCTCTGTCTCCTCTCTGATCTCATCCCTCTTCTGCCATACATCCATGCTTCTGGACTTGGTATTTATTGTTCCCATACTTCACTTCATATGTAACTCCAAGCAATGTGAAGTATAGTTTTACATGTTTCTAACTTTATATAAACATCATATTATACTGATTGCACTCTTCTGAGGCTGCCTTTTTCCTCCACATTGTTTGTGAGATTCGTCCAAATTAACAAGTGTATCCATACTCTACTCATTCTCATTGCCGTAGAGTACAAAGCATTTCATTATATAAAGGTATACTAGTTCTTGTCACTAGCCTGGGGTTGGACATTTGGGTTGCTTCCAGTTTTTTGTTATGACAAATCGAGCTGCTGTGAACATTCTTGTTCATGTCTCCTAATTCAAGAGGGTGAACATTCCTAGGAGTGTGTACTAGTTTCCTATGGCTGCTGTAACAAATTACCACAATACTAGTGGGTTAAAACAATACAAATATAGTATCTTACAACTCTGGATGTCAGAAGTCCCAACGGTTTCACTGGGCTGACGTGAAGGTTTTGGCAAGGTCACTGTCCCTCTGTAGGGGAGAATCCATTTCCCTGAATTTTCTGGCTTCTAGAAGCCCACCCCCCCTCCCCCCCATTCTTTGGCTTGTGGCTCCTTATTACATCTTCAAAGCCAGCAACACAGTATCTCCAGATTTCTCTGATTCTGACCCTCTGCTTCCATTGTCACAACTTCTCTGATTCTGACTCTCCTGCCTTCCTCTTCTAAGGATTGGGTGGACAGTCTCCATCTCCAGGTCCTTGACTTAATCACATCTGCAAATTCATTTTTGCTGTGGAAGACAACACAGCCACAGGCTTCGGGCTTAGGATGTGGACATCTCTGGGGGCCATTATTCCATCTTCCACAGAGGGAACCACAGGCAATGTGACCTGAGCATCTTTGAATTAGGAGTTTGTCAAACTGCTCTCCACAGTGGATGGGTTCTCCACAGTGAAATGGGAGTGACAGGACTACGTAAGCATTCCAGCACTATCCCTCTCATTTTCACCAACACTAGCTATTACCTGACTTTTTCATTTTTGTCAACCTGGTGGCTGTGAAATGCCTGGGCTCTACTGCTATGTGGTCAGGAAAGAGACAGTGATCAGTCGCGTTGAATGTGAAAAAGAGGAGTTCTGGCTGTAAGAATGTGGTCAATGGCCTTGGCTAGCGCAGTTCCCTGTGAAGTGGGGAGAGGGAGTAAAGTCAGACCCAGTTAAGAAACAAGGAGGGCCAGGAAAGGGACACAGGCTGTGCCGAGTGTAGAGGGTGTGTTTTAACTTGGGCTGCCACAGAGAAATACCACAGACCCGTGAGCTTACACAACAGATATTAACTTCTTACAATTCTGGAGGCCGGGACATCCAAGATCAAGGTGCCAGCAGATTCAGCTTTTGGTGAGAGCCTGATTCCTAGCTTACAGACAGCTACGCTCTCGCTGTGTCTTCACATGGAGAGAGAGAAAGAACTCCGCTCTCTTTCTCTTCTCCTCCTTCTTCTTCTTCTTCTTCTTCTTCTTCTTCTTCTTCTTCTTCTTCTTCTTCTTCTTCTTCTTCTTCTTTTTAAATATATTTTATTGATTTTTGTACAGAGTGGAAGGAGATAGAGAGTTCGAACCATCAATGAGAGAGAGTCATTGATCAGCTGCCTCTTGCACACCCCCTACTGGGGATATGCCCACAACCAAGGTACATGCCCTTGACCGAAATCGAACCCGGGGCCCTTCAGTCCCCAAGCCAACGCTCTAATAATTGAGCCAAACCGGTCCCGGCTCTTTCTCTTCTTATAAGGACACTGATGTCACCATGGGGGACCCAATCTCATGACCTCATCTAAATCTAATGACTTCCCAAAGGCCCCATTTTCTTTCTTTTTTTCTTTCTTTTAAAAAATATATTCATTGATATTTTACAGAGAGGAAGGGAGAGAAATAGAGAGTCAGAAACATTGATGAGAGAGAATCATCAACCAGCTGCCTCCTGCACACTCCCCACTGGGGATGTGCCTGCAACCAATGTACATGCCCTGGACCGGAATCGAACCTGGGACCTTTCAGTCCGCAGACTGACGTTCTATCCACTGAGCCAAACCGTTTTCGCGCTCCCCTTCCCCCACTTTCAAGTAGCATATTGAGGGGTTAGGCCTTCCACACATGAATTTGGGAGGACATAAACATTCAACCCATAACAGGATGCTTTCAAAACATTGGATGATGAATGAAAGGGAGGTTATCAGTCTGGTGGTAGGGAGAAAGAAAGACATCACTGATGGAACAGGGCAAAGCATCTTGGAGCAGGCAGGTAAAGGTGAGGCTGTGGAAAGGGTACCTGAATTGGCTTTGGAAGGAGGAGAGGCTGCTGTTTCTGGAGGAGGGAGGGTAGGAAGGGCACTGAGGCATATACAGAGAAAATCCAGAGAGGCGAGGCAGAAAATGGCATAAGCTTCTTTCTGAAAATGGCATAAGCAGCTGGAATGGGGGAAGGTTTACAGAGAACATGGTTGTGGGGCTTTCAACACGGTGCCTACTGGGCTGAACAAAGGGGGATTGGTGAGAAAGAGGGGACAAGCTGAGGTCTTACTAGCACTCTTAGGGTGAATAAGGCCTAGAGTCCAGAGGTGAAGGGGCCAAATCCTACATGGAGGGCCATGTAGGATTGTCTGGAAGACCCCTGGATACTTGGTGGGAATGGTGAGCTCTGAGGTGGCAGACCAGAGCCAGGGAGATCACAGCCAGGGAACTGGGATGTGTGGAGGGACGTTTGATAATGCCCAGGACCATGGTGGAAGGAGAGCAGGGACTGTGGGAGCCCAGAGGAGAGGGGCACATAACCCAGCCTGGGTAAGTGGAGGGCTTCCAGGAGGTGGTGATGGTTCAGCTGAGTCTTGAAAGGGAAAGCCAAATTTCAGTTATATAAAAATTTGGAAGAAGTATTGGCTTTATCATCTACTAATAAGTCTTTCCTATCCTACTCATCAGTTTTGTCTCTCTTAGATATCTGCCCATTGTGCTCCGGATGGACTGGAAGAGTCCTTGTTGAGTTCTTTCAGCCCTTATACATTGGCTTATGGACTTCTCTTTAGTTTAATTATTTTCTCCTTTAACTGCAGAACTTCTATTCATCATTCAAAACTCAGAGCAAATGTCACCTCCTCTGGTGAGCCTTTCTGATTGTCCTGGTCCTACCTCTGTGCTTTCTTAACAGTGTGATAAAGTGAAACAAGCTCACTCATTACTGTTTGATTTTAGACAAGTGGCTTAGTCTCTGAGTGTCTGTTTCCTGACAAAGACACTAGCCACGTCTAGCAGGGAAGATAAGGCAAATGATAATCCCCTGGCATCACATGGAATCACTTAGGAAGCCATTGGGTGGTGAAACTTGACATTCTGACTTGTCCTAGAGTAAGCTGTGTGAGAATGGGACTCTGTCGGTCTAAATCCATGAGTTCTGCAGAGAGGTTCTAGCCCAGTGACTAGGAATCATGTGCTCTGTGGGCCCTGAACAGAGGGAAGAATTGAAATTGCCTGTCATTTACCTGTAATGTGATTTACCTGTAAATGATAAGGAAGGTGACATCATCTCTGTGAATCTGTTTCCTTATCTGTAAAATGACAACATATTAGGGACTCATTTACTACAGGTAAAGCTCTCAACACACACTATCTCTAATCCCCACTTTGTGCATCATCAACCCATTCTACAGAAGAGAAAACGGAGGCTTGGGGAGGTGATCGACTTGTTCACGTTAGCCGCAGAGCAGGAGCACCTGGCGCCCAGCCAAACTCAGAAAACTGTTGTGCGAATCCAGAGGGGAAATGTGAAATAGTCCCTCAAATTGTAAACGCCTGGGGAGGGAGAGTCCCTGCCCGGGGGGCGTGGCGAATGATGGATGGCCAAGAGGAGGGGTGCGGAGAGAAGCCGCCCCAGATATCCGGATGGCGGCGGTAGGATGGCTTTGCGGGCCGATCGGCGGGTGCGGGAGGCCCAGCGAGGCGCTGCATTGCCCGGTGGGCTGGGGTGCGGCTCGCCCCCTTTCCGCCCCACCCCCAGCCCCAACACCGCGGCCCCTTTAAGGGCGGACAGGGCGCCCTCTGGCGGCGGAGCGGCGCGCGCACGGCCGGAGCCGGAGCCGGATCCCGGAGCCGGAGCGGAGCGGAGCGGAGCCGGGGCGGAGCGGGCCGAACGGGCCGAGCCAGCAGCCGAGCTGGGGGCGCGGGCGGGCGGCATGTACCGGGCCCGGGCGGCGCGGGCGGGGCCGGAGCCCGGCAGCCCGGGGCGCTTTGGGATCCTCAGCACCGGGCAGCTCCGGGACCTGCTTCAGGATGAACCCAAGCTGGACCGGATCGTGCGGCTCAGCAGGAAGGTAGCGCGGGGGTCGCGGGCGGGGGGCGCGGGGAATGGGCCGCGGCCTGCCGGACCTGCCGAGCAGCCAAAGGGCCGCGCGGGCCGGGCCGCGGGGCCGCCGCTGGGCGCGGGAGCCTGGCACGTACGAGTGGGCTCCCTGGAGCCGCCCCCGGGGGAGGGGGCGCCTGGAGCCGGCCTGGGGCGGGTGGGGCGCCGGGGACCCGGGGAGGCGCCTGTGCACCCCCGGGATGGCCGCGAGGCGTGTCCTACGGCGGATGCTCCGGGGAGGTGTGTTCTGGGGGGCAGAGGTGGTGGTGTTGTGGGGGGCCTTGGCTCGCACACCCACGTTCTGTAGGGCCAGAAAGGGGAGGCGCCTTCCATAGGGAGAACTAGGGGCCTGTTTGACACCTGGGAGGACCGATGAGGGAGCGCCCGCATCTGGAGGGTGCAGGAGGAGGCTTTGTGTCTTTCCTTGGGTAGGGGCACTGAGAGCTGAGCTGTATATTCCATAGGCCACCATAAGAGAAAGTTGTATATTCACAGGCGATAGGCCGGGGCTGGCTGGCTGTGGGGGGCAGAAAGGGAAAGTGTGTGTCGGAGGGAGGCAGGCAGGAGGGGCATAGGCATCCTATAGGGGACAGATGGAGGGTAGTGTGTTCTCTAGGGGCAGGGAGGGGAGGCTGGGCACTCCAGGAAACAAGGAAAAAGCATTCTCCTGAGCCAGGAAAGAAAGGGGCTCTGCTTTCTGTGAGAGAAGGAAAGCTGGGAGGGAGGTGCTAGAGAATCTGGGAGGGAAAGGGGGTGTGTATTCCTGGGGGGTGTGGGGATTCCACTGGAGGGCAGAAGGACAGGTGTGAGGGGAGGAGAGGGTGGCTTGAGGGGGTACCATTCAGGGACAGGGTAAGACCACTCTGGAGAGTCAGGGCCGGGGTGGGAGTGTTTTCAGCACAAACACCTGAGGAGGAGGCAGACAAAGGCCTGGAATGAGAGGGAAGCTGCCCATGCATGGAAAATGGGACAGAGGAGGGAGGGGGACTCCTCGGGGACCTGGGCAGACATATTAATTGAAAAATTAAAAATTAACTAACATTTGTAGAGGCCTTCATAGTTTTCCTCTCTTCAGTCTCCCCGCCGCCCTGTAAGGTAGTGGTTTTTAGCTTACTTTGTAGGGGAGGAAACTGAGGCCCAGAGAGGAAGCTCCAGGCAAAGCCCCACCTGGGCCTCTTGCAGTCTCTCCACCTGTTGGCTCCTCGTCCTGAGAGGGGGGTGCTTGCGGCTTGACCCTGGGCGCTGTGGCTCGGGGTGGCAGAAGGTGGAAGTGGGCAGGCTTCCTGAATGCACTCTTGGCTCTTCTCCGGTGACAGTTCCAGGGCCTGCAGCTGGAGCGCGAGGCGTGCCTGGCCTCCAACTACGCACTAGCCAAGGAGAACCTGGCGTTGCGGCCCCGCCTCGAGATGGGCCGGGCAGCCCTGGCCATCAAGTACCAGGAACTTCGAGAGGTGGCCGAGAGCTGTGCGGACAAGCTGCAGCGACTGGGTGAGGGGACGGTTGGGAGAACTGCCTGGGAGGGTGGCAGCTGGCTCTCTGGTTGGTTGGCCTTGGGAAGTGCGAGGCTCTGAAAAGTGGGACTTGGGCAGACCTATTCCGCAGGCAAGGTTGAGGGGGCACTACTCCTGGAAAACTAAGTTGGGGAAGTGAACAGTTGGTGGGCAGAGCTGGGTTGTAGAGGCCAGATGGGGGCCCTGGCAGTGGGAGAAAAGGGGGCCCAATATCTAAGGGCCTGGGGTACCCTAGGAGACAGAGCCCCTGCTCCCTCTTTTGCACTAAAACTGGGGGCAGAACCTTGCGGGAAGATGTACAAACTGATCCCAAGAACATTGTACAGATGAGGAAACGGAGAAATGGAAACACAGAATCACACACAGGGTCAGCGAGAGTCAGGATTGGGCCCCGGGATTGGCCTTTCTGTCCTGGGTGACAGGCCCTAAGGGCAGGGGCCATTCACTCTGTCCCTCTGTGGCCCTCAGAGGAGAGCATGCATCGCTGGAGCCCCCACTGTGCACTGGGCTGGCTGCAGGCTGAGCTGGAAGAGGCTGAGCAGGAGGCTGAGGTGAGGGGGGCGAGGCTGGGCCTGGGGGACAGGAGAGAGACCCATTCTATCATTCCCCCCCACTTCATTCTTACATAGTAGGCTTGAGAGCCCCTTCTCCAGGAAGTCTGTGCCAGGCCCCCAGGAGAGAGAGCCCCCCTGTGAATGTCTCAGGGCAGAGTAGGCTGAGTCTAAAGAGGAGCTGGCACAGACTTGTCAGTGCTGGGCTGGGGTGTAGTGCTCAGTGAGTTAATGGAGGCGGGTTAGGAGGGGGCCTGGCCCTAGCTTTGATGGGCAGTACCTAAGTCTACCTAAGTGGGACCCCATCTCTGATCCTGCCTCATCTCTGACCCAGCGGGTCTGGTGATAGAAATGAAATAGAGGCTTGAGAGTAGAGGACATTTGTCTACAGCCACTCAGCAAATCAGAGGTAGGCCCAGCTGTGGTCACCATTAGAAGGGATTTGGGGGAGAGGGGGAGGAATAGAGGCAGTCCACAGTCTTGGTCATGCTCCTCCCAAACTGTGCCTTCCTCCCGTCCCAGGAGCACATGGAGCAGCTGCTGCTGGGGGAGCAGAGCCTGGAGGCGTTCTTGCCCGCTTTCCAGCGAGGCCGTGCCCTGGCCCACCTGAGGCGGACCCAGGCTGAGAAGCTGCAGGAGCTGCTGCGGCGCCGGGAGCGGTCTGCCCAGCCAGCACCCACTGCTGCTGCGGATCCCCCCAAGCCTCTGCCCCCTGCAGCTGTCCTGCCCACCGGGGCCGGCCGGGGGCCACCAGCAGTGCCCCGAAGCCTGCCCCCCTTGGACTCCCGCCCAGTGCCCCCGCTGAAGGGCTCCCCCGGGTGCCCCCTTGGCCCAGCACCTCTGCTGAGCCCCCGGCCCTCGCAGCCAGAGCCCCCTCACCGGTAGGACCCAGGGTATGGCTCCCCAATGGGGGGCCCAGACAAAGTTGATGCGTGGCTCCTCCTCCTCCCCCACTGCCTGGGTGGGGGGAGGGGCAGGCCCCTCCCCTTGGCCTCAGGCAGGCCCTGGCCCTGGAGGCTAAGCTGGGGAGGAGGGTCACCTGAAAGATGCCCTGAGAGAGGGCTGGGGGTGGGTGGGCAGGGTGTTACGCCTCTGGCATTGAGGAAACTGCCTTTTTTTTGGCCCTGGCTGAGCCCCCCCCCCAGTGACTCATGGCAACCTAGGAAGGTGCCCGCTCTCCCGAAGGCCCTGCCTTGGGAGCCTATCACACTCTGCCACTCCACTGGGCTGGCACAATCAATGCCAAGGCTGACAGGAGTGTTTTCCATCATGTACTGAGCCTACCTTCCTCCCAGTCCTGGGGCCCACCACCTAGGAGCCAGGTGGTCAGGTCTCAGCAGCAGGGTCAAGGAAACCATGGCCCTGGGGCCCTACTCCTGCTCCCGACACTGGGGCGAGGTAGGCCAAGGGGCTTCTGACCTGCACAGGTGAGAGTGGGCCATCCCCAGGAAAGACCATTCTGTATTTTTCTGTCCCGTCTCCTTAGAATGGAACCTTTTTGAGGGCAGGTCCTTGTCTTTGTATGTTCTGTCCCCAGCCCCGCTTCCCAGGGGCCGTCAATAAATGTGATGATGAGGATGACGATGCTGCCTGACTCCTCTCTGCTCCCTCAACCAGCCACTCTGCTGTTGCCACCTCTACATGGCAGCTCCTGCGCTTGCTATTCTTGAGATGCCCTTCCTTCCTCTCTGCCCATCCAAAGCCCACCTGTCCTTCAGGTCCAGCACTGCTCCTGCCTCTTCCATGAAGCCTTCTCTGGTTATCAATCTGTGGGAGACCTTCCTAACTCTTAACTTCCCGGCACTTCGGGCCAGAAGCACACTCTGCTTCACTGTTCTTCAATTGCTTCACCTGTACGCAATTTCTTCTCCCGGGTCATCTGTGAGCCCCATCAAGATAGTACCTGCTCCTTCTCTGGCCTGCGAAATGGTCACCGCCAGAGTGATGGAGGGTTATTTGTCTTCAGCGAGGGTGAATACTAGGTGGCTGGCTTGGCTGATGAGTGTGGGACAAGAAGATGGGAAAGGAGCCCTAGCCAGTTTGGCTTAGTGGGTAGAGTGTTGGCTTTTGGACGGAAGGGTCCCAGTTTGATTCCGGTCAAGGGCACATGTCTCAATTGCAGGCTCCTCCCTGGCCCAGGCCCTGGTCAGGACACATGCAGGAGCTACCAAATTGATGTGTTTCTCTCTTCCACTCTCTCTAAAATCAATGGAAAAATATCCTCAGGTGAGGATTAAAAAAATGAAGATGGAAAGCAGAAATCAGCTTAGGTCAAGTCTGATGAGATGAAGTTTGGCAGGGAGGCACGGATGGCCTTACAAATAAGAGGGGACAGTCAGTGCTGTAAAAGCAAATCTAATCTTGGTACATGTTAATGGGAATAAACCATCTAGAAAGAGGGAAGTGTTGGGTTGGCTCAACTTTTCACTGAAATCTTACACTCTAAGAGGGATACCAAAACAGCATGTTTGGGTAATAACTAAAAGAAAGGATTGAGACTAAATCCTATGTGAAACAATTGAGGGACCCATGTAGGCCCAGCGGTCAGAGCCTAGACCAATGGACGGAAACCACAACGAGCCAGGTTTGGGCTCATTATAAGACTTTTAGGTTAGGGCTACTATTGAAGGTAGATGGTCCCCTCTTCTCAAATTTTGTGAACAGCACCTGAGTGGCTGCTTAATCTTTAGAGATGAAGGCAATAGTTGGGAGGGACTGGCCCCTTGAACTTTTGAGAGCCCTTCAGGCCCAGACAGATTTATCCCATAGGAGCACAGTCAAAGGAAGCACTACTAGTGCCCACTTGAGGCCCTTCGTCCATATTGGCCTTGGTTCTACTCTCCTGTTAGCACTTGAGCTGCTGGAGGCTGAGGGACACCAAAACATCTCTGCCTGAGAGGACAACAGACAGAACAGCTCTGGAAAACCTAAATGCTAAGCATAACTTGGGGCAGGCTGGGCCCTTTTTGCCCTCGTCTCCCATTCTGGATTCATGCTAATAGGCAGTTTGTAACTAAAAGGAGAAAGGGGGCTAAAGTGAGCATGACTGAGCCTTCCTCTACGATTGAGTTGAGGAGCAGCCTCATAAAAGCAGAGTTCAGTCTCCCCTCCCCAGGGCAAGTAAGGAGAGAAAGGAACGACCCGAGCAGCGGAGGGACAGGAAGGGAAGAAAGAAGTGTTTCCATATAACTGTATGAGTTCTTCAAAAGCCCTAACTGGTTTGGCTCAGTGGATAAAGTATCGGCCTGTGGACTGAAAGGTCCCAGGTTCAATTCTGGTCAAGGGCATGTACCTTGGTTGTGGGCACATCCCTGGTAGGGGGTGTGCAGGAGGCAGCTGACTGATGTTTCCCTCTCATCGATGTTTCTAGCTCTCCCTCTCCCTTCCTTTCTTTAAAAAAATCCATTTTATATATACCGTATTTTCCGGTGTATAAAACGACCCCCTAATTTTATAGTTAAAACATAGGTTTAGGCCTATATTCGCTGTATAAGACTACCCCCCACTTCAAAGAAAAGACTTACTTTGCCGTCAAGATCTGCAGGTAATTTTTGTGCAATTTTGGTCTTTTGCCCCCCGACTTTCGGTTGACTTTTTCCTGTTCAAAAGTCGTCTTATACGCCGGAAAATACGATATATATATATATATATATATATATATATATATATATATATATAATGATATTTTAATATATAAAAGTCCTCACCTACATCAGAGCTCAGACTGTTTTAGAGGGGGTAGAGACTGAGGTCCCTTAGTGTTCAGCTCCAGCCTTGAAAAAGACTAAGGCAGATGGTACAGGTATCACCAAAGTGAAGTAGGCCTGGTTTTGGGCCATGGGAAAGGGTTAGAATTGGATGGTTAATAAACTGCATTAACTCCCTTGCTGGAAAATACATGGGATGTTCTGGAATGTTACAGGCAGGGATCTCTTTCTAAAACCCTCTGGAACTTTGTTCCCAGATTCTGGGGCTCCAGGGAATATTCTTGGCTATAATCCTCTGTGTGAGAGAGAACAAACAAGGGTCTATAGACATCAAGGAACCCATGAGTAAGGAACTACCTATTTTAGACCACCAGAGCTTGTACAAACCAAAAGCAAAAAGTGGCCAAAATAACAAAACTCCCATCCCTTTTTGATAAAAACAGAGTTCCTACCTCTCAAGAAAGTCTGAGAGGTGCACCTCCTTGTTTAGTTATCACTAGCTTCTGCATGTTTCCCTAAGCTTCTCCTTGATTTCCAAATACAAAACATACCATTAAGTGTGTTTTTGTTTTGTTGCCAATCCAGGATTACTGACCTAAGCAGGCCTGAACCAGAGTGGACTCAACTCTTTACCAGTGAGTCATGTGGTCACTGCAAAACCACAGCTAGGAACTTGCCCCTCACTTCCAAGGTTAGAGAATCCAATGGTTTGCAAGAGACCAAGGTGGATTAGCTGTAGGTTTATCTCAATTTATATAAAGATTGTACACAAAAGACTGAGTGTAGGAATTGGGGTTATAGTACTCTGCAGAGGGAGAACCTCTAGCTTTGTTTAGAACCTTACCACTGCTTAGACCTTTTCAAAGATTCTTCCAGTCCCACACGAAAATAAGATTTACACTCTGCCTCTCCGCATAAAGTGTAAGCTCTTACATATGATGTGAACTCAAGTGCCTGTAGGGGCCAGGAAAATCACAGAGGTGCAAAGCAGATCATTCCCACAAAGAAATACACCCTCTCCCATTTTTTTTTTTCTTCTGGAAATGTACAGTCCTTTTAAAAACATTCCTCCTCTTGATATAGAGACATTTCTCTACTGTGGGCAAAATGGTGAAAGTATCAAGGCTTTGTATACCTTCCCTCTGATGGTGGGAGTGCAGTGAAATGTAGAGAAATATCTTTTCTAAAAGGCAGATGTCAGCTTCTCCCAGGCACTAAAGTGGGTATCTGAGCTCAATTGTGGAAAAATTTCTCTTTTTTTTTTAGAGAAGTAAAAAATCTTGATTTCTATGCAAAGTACCCTCAGTTATGAATGTTGGCTAAAGTTATCTTAAGACACTGTGCCAGCCACAGCCAAACACTGTGTGAACCATGAATCTTGGTCTGTTCTTATTCATTCTGAAACAGGCCTTCTTTTGTCTAGTAGCAGTCCCCTCCAGAACTGAAAATAAGAATGCTGAAAGAAGCAAAGGCAGGATGGGAAGGCCAACCTACCTCAAGACTAGTGTCAGGACCTCAGGTTCAGACAGCCTTAAGAGAGTGGCATGATGGCTGATGCATAGTGACACTATGATTTCATGGCACATGGTGAACTCTGCACTGGCTTCTTTGGGGATGAATGCACCGAGTGTTCTAGCATATGCAAGTTCATGAAGTCCAAACTCGGGTCCTTAACAGAGGGACCCTCCGTTGCTCTGCTCAACCCTATGGCTGCCAGGGCTACAAGCAGGGCCTGAGGGCAGGCGAGGCAAGCCTTCTATGATCTTGACCATAGTCGGTGGCAGTGTGTGACTTCATCATAGGGTGAAGGAACTGAGAAGAGGCAAGGCCAGGAGAGAGCCCACTTTTCTAGTGCACTGAATTCAAGAGAGAATTGAAGTAGCACCACCACTTACCAGTTGTCCCTTCTCTCAACCTCTCTTCATGAGATCTGGTGACCTTCCAGGAAGTCCAAAGGTCTAAGACATAGCCTCCTACCTTCACTATTTTCCAAAAAGGGAATATGATGGCCCTCATTTGGGCTCCACCCTTAGTGCCTCAGCCTCAGGCTATTACACACACACACAGACACACACACTCTCTCTCTCACACTCTATATATGATTTTATATGTATGTGGAGTCAATAATGACTAAATGGACAACTCATTATCTTTAGGTATGCTATTCTTATATATTTTGGCTCATGCTAGAATCATTATAATAGGCAAGGTACATTCTATGAACCAAATGCTTAGAACCTCAGAAGGAAGCAAGAAATCCTACTCTCTCAGCACTGGAATGAGTAAAGGATTTCACCCAGCAATAAATAAAGGGCAACAGAGGGAAAAGCAGTTTGGCTTAGGGGAAATAAAGTCCTGGTCAAGTTCAAAGACAATTGCCTAGACATATACACCTTTGATCCTGTCTTGTCTGAGTCTCCCCATTTAGGAACTGTGTGTGCTGCTCAATCAACTTTGTACTACACTTGCAACCTCATCCCCACCCCAATAAGCATAGCCTGGGACAAGCTGGGCCCCTCTTGTCCATTTCTCGTCAAAAACGGACTAAAGTTGAGCATGTCTGAGTCTTCCTCTACTATCAGGAATTGGGGAACAGTGCCTTGAAGGCAGCTAATCTCCTCAGCCTGGTTCAGCCTCTTCTCTCCAGGTTAGGAAGGGAAAAATGTTGCAATGGGGACAAGATAACGTTGGAGGGGGGGCCCTCAAAAAGCCTCCCACACATCTCTCCTTCCATGAAAAGCCCAGACTCAGTTTAGGGAAGGTAGGGAGTGGGGTCTTACAGAGTTCAAACCTGGCCTAAAAAACCCTGAGGCAAGCAGAATTGCACTTCAGTACTAGTCCTAGCTCTAGGCCTAAGGAGAAACCGAGTTAGATGGTTAATAGATGTTATTGACTACCCTGCATGACATATATATTCTGGAATGTTCCAGAAGTTTCACATTGCCTGGACACCACTCCCACACACATACCTGAAGCCTCCTTGAGCTTTTTATCTATTTCCATGTTCTCGGGCCCCAGGAAATGCTCTTGATTGTGATCTTCATAGAAAGAAAACAAACTTGAAAGGTCTGTGTCAAGGAGCCCACGCAAAAGGTCCCAGCAATTACAGGTCACTAGTGCTTTTACAAACAAGACCCAAAAGAACTCCAATTCCTTCTGATAGGATCTTGCCCAAAGGACACTGTTATGTACCATCTCCTTGATCGAGAATCACTAGTTTCTGCATATTTCACTAAGCTTCACTATTATAGTTTATATTTCAAAAAGAACACTCAGCTGGCACCATTCTGGGGCTCAGCCCACCTGGTTTTCCAGATGACCTAATAAATTCATAATTCTTTACCAAAAAATAGAAAGAACACTCTTGTTTTTCAAGTATGTAACATAATAACATTTGTTCTTTTTCAAAGTACATATGCCCCACCCCCAAATCAAGGCTCACTGAGCACAGTGGGCCTGAAACAGGGTGGGCTCAAATCTTTACTATTGAACCATGTGGTCACTGCAAAGTCATGATTAAGGGTTTGTCCCTGACATCTAAGGCTAGAGAGAATCCAAGAGACCAAGTTGAACTAGCTATGGTTTTATCCCAACCTACACAAGGATTTCACACAAGAATGTGAATGCAGGAATTGGTATTACTATACTAAAGCACCTCTGGCTTTGTTTAGACTCTAGACTTAGGCCTGTACCCTTGTGGGAGATCTCCTGAAAAGGTTTTCCTATCCCAAGCTTTCCACTCAGCCCCGGTGCATAAATCTTTGAGCACTGACAATTGCACAGCCATCGGGATGTGCAGTGACTCAGGGTTAAGAGAACCTGACTACAACTTCTCTAGTCAAGTGATGATTGACCCACGGCTGAAACAGAAAAAAGCCTCAAGCAGTTCTAAACAAGGGGTTTCCACCACAGGCCTCCTGATCCTCAGCAGTCCCACCACCTCCCAACTTTCCAAATTCCCCAGAGCCTCAAGCAACCATGTTTCCAGTTGGCTTGTACCACCTGCAATAAGCACTCAAGATAAACAGGATGGGCCACACTCAGAGGAGCTCTCTCTCTAGGAGAGGACTGGCTGGCTGCATGGTTAGGGGCAGGGTTAGCTGGTAAAGGGATAACCAGGTGACAGGTACACTATCCCAAGGATAAACTTGACTCTACTAGCATGTCTTTAACCATTGAGCCCTATGGACAGTAAAAGTGTGACAAACCTCAAGAGAGCAAATGGTTTGCTCTCTGCCGTCACGTCCACAGAGTAACTTCAAGGTCATATAAGTATGGGCACTCATTCTTTATGCTCGATGACCTTGCTTTTCCGGACTCATTCATGCCAACAGCAGAAGGGGAAGAGGGGTTTGGGGCTGACCATAGCAAGGTTTCCTTGATATCACATTTTTAGCCTCTATCAGGTCTCACCTGTGGCTTGGGGAACTCACAGAAAGACAAGGTTGCACACCTCAGAAATTTTCTTTTGGCAGCTAACAATTGGTCACATTGCACGTTTCAAGGTTACAGAGCTCCATGGCACAAACATGGGGCACGAGCAGACATTTCTTTGCTCAGAGCCTGACAACAAAGCCAGAGCCCAGTGTTCCAGAAGCTGACAACATCAGGAAGGTGCCCGAGGGACTACAGAAAACTCTTCACTCAGGCTTTCAGGGCTGTTCATGTTGGGGTCTCCTTCTTGGGCATCTTCTTCTTTTTTTTCTTTTTTTTCCCCCTGGACCGCAGGGAGAGCATGTGCCGGTTAAAGGCTAAGCTGGGCGAGTGGGGAAGCGAAGGGGGAGAGAGCGCGGTTCCTTCGGACCCCAGCAGAGGTAGACTGTGGAAAGCGAAGGGTTCAAAACAGGAAAGGCCATTTTCTGGGGTGTGGCTGGGGGGAAGCTGGGCGCGTGGGGGCTGCTCCCCTTCCCTTTCTCTCTCGATTAAGAACGAATGCCTATGACGATGAAGATTGTGAGGAGAAGGACGACTAAACTTGTGTCTCGGATATCGTCCCAGCTGAAGCCCTTCTTCGCCCGGTCCTCCTGCTGCTTGCGGAGGGCCTCCCGCCGGGCCCGGAGGCGGCGCTCGCGCTCCAGCTGCTCTCCGTAGTGCGCCTGGTAGAAGGCGTCAAAGTTGAACATGGTGCGGCTGTCGCCCGGCGCGGCCTGGCCGGAAGTGTGGGTGCGAGAGGCGGGCGAAGGGGCGCGGGCCGCGCCGGAGTCCGCCGAGGGCGCCCTGGAGGGCCGGACGCCGGGGCCGCGCAGGTCCATGTCGCTGAGCAGGCCTCGGTCATACTTGCGGCGCAGGGTGGCGCTGCCCAGCACCACGTAGGCCTCGGAGATGCGCGTGAAGCGCTCGGCGGCCTCGGCGCTCCCGGAGTTGCGGTCCGGGTGGTAGAGGAAGCTTTGCCGGTAGTAGGCGGCCTTGATCTGCGCCTGCGTGGCCGTGGGGGGGACGCCGAGCAGCTCGTACAGCGCCGTGCGCGAGTACGGGCCGTCGCCCCGCGAGTAAGTCCTCGCTTCGAAGCCTACGCACGATACCCGGCTCTGCGGAGGGCCCCGACCCTGCCATAAGCTCCACAGCAACACCCGCGGCCACTTCAGATCGTGTCTTGCTGCCATCTTGCGTGGGTCTGGAGGGCGGAGCAAAGGGGAACTGGCCAATGGGAGGCGTAAGTTGTTCGCAGAGCGTCACCCTCGTAGCCAATCGGGTAGGAGAGGAGGCGGGGAGAGGAGTGGAGGATGCGTAGTACGAGGCAGGCGCGCTGATGACATAAGAGTCAGACTCCCGAGCCCCCGGCAGCGGTCGTGTGGCGGAGGCGTGGGCATGGCGTGTCGCGGGCTCCGGCCGGAGCACGGCGGACCCCCAGAGCTGGTGAGTCTCGTGGCCCTCGGGCACCTTTCTGTCTGAAAGATCCTCAGCGTCTTGATTTCCCCCCCAACTACCCTTTTCTCTTTCTCTTTTCCCGCAGTTTTACGACCAGAATGAAGCCCAGAAATACATGCGCAAGTAAGGGAGCCTGGATGTTGCGTGGCGTCGGGGGGTGGGAACCCCGCAGGTTGCCCTCCTTTGGGGGCATTGCTTGGGAAACATGAAGAATTTGGGGCGGTTGTGTTGGGAGGAAGGGACTTGGGTTTGATTCCTTTTTTTTTTTTTACACTGGCAAAGGCAAGTTGAGTTAAATCTCTGAGCCACCTGGGCCTCAGTGACTTCAGCATTAGTATGGGAGTGATCATATTTTTATCTGGGCTTTCAGTTTATTGTGACAGCTTGTTTCAAACATGTGGTAAAATAGGCAGGAGGCAGTGGATGTGTAGAAGTGGTTAATGCTCTTGTGGGGGGAAGAAAACATTCATAAATGTTTGCTGTGTGCCCCTGTTTGTATAATCTCACTAGACCCTCTTGACAACTGTTGGTGTAGTAGTTTCTGAATTTCATTGTAACTAGGTGAAGGCTACAACAGACTTCCAGACCTTTGGATCAACCACTCTGTAGAAAATTCTACAGATACTTGATCTTGGGAAAGACAGATAGATATATTATACACCTATTCTTTGCTACGGTAATCAGTAGTCATCAGTGCCTGCATTACTTAGCATGAAGAAAATGTAAAATATTTTATTGATCATTTTTTTATGCTGATTACGTGTTGAAATAATTTGAGCATATTGGGTTAAAAATTATTAGATGCGCCAAAACCGGTTCGCTCAGCGGTAGAGCGTTGGTCTGCGGACTGAAGGGTCCCAGGTTCGATTCCGGTCAAGGGCATGTACGTTGGTTGCGGGCACATCCCCGGTAGGGGGTGTGCAAGAGGCAGCTGGTCAATGTTTCTCTTCTCATCGACGTTTCTAGCTCTCTATCTCTCTCCATTCCTCTCTGTAAAAAAATCAATAAAATATATTTTTAAAAAATAAATAAATCTTAAGAAAAATTTTTAGATGCATTGGATTTGGTTAACTCTTAGTTAACCAAAATTACATATTTAATTTTACATATTTAATTTCATTTTAACTGTGGGCATTGGAAAGTCATGTTGCTTGTACCCTGTTTCCCCGAAAATAAGACAGTGTCTTATATTAATTTTTTCTCCCAAAGTTGCGCTAGGTCTTATTTTAAGGGGATGTCTTATCTTTCCATGCGCTAGGTCTTATTTTCGGGGAAACACGGTATTATGTTTCCCTTGGACAGCACTTATGTAGATTTTTGTTGTGCATTCTTGATCCTTATATCTGAGAGTCACTGTGGTGGGTAATTTTTCCAGAAAACTTGTTCTCTCTCTCTCTCTCTCTTTCTCTCTCTCTCTCTTTTTAATATTTTTTAATGATTTCAGAGAGGAAGGGAGAGAGAGAGAAATATCCATGGTGAGAGAGAATCATTGATCAGCCACCTTCTGCATGCCCAGTAAAAAAAAAAAAGTATATTAAATAGTTGTAGTTGAGTTGGTTGACCAGGAAAGAGCACCTTGTTCTTTTTTCCTAGAAGTTCTTGGTGGTTTTTTTTGTTTTTTGTTTTTTTTTGTTTTGGTCTGGGTACAGGTTTAGCTCAGAACCTTACCACCTGTTGGTGTTTCTGCCTTTCCAGCTCTAGGATGATTGATGTGCAGACCAAGATGACTGGGCGAGCATTGGAGCTCCTTGATCTGCCTGATGAGAAGCCCTGTTTCCTGTTGGATATTGGGTGAGATCCTGGGGCCCAGTCAGATTCCCCAGGTTGTGGGGCATCTTTGCTTTTCACACTGTTGAGTCCCTGTTTGAATCTTCCAGCTGTGGTACTGGACTGAGTGGAGATTATCTCTCTGAAGAGGGGCACTATTGGGTGGGCATCGACATCAGCCTTGCCATGCTGGGTAAGTATGTTCTATTTGGCACTGGTGTGGACTACCCTCATGAGTATGGAGCAGCTATGCATATTGTCTGTTTCCTTCACTTACTCTTCTGCGATGCAGATGCAGCTTTGGACCGAGAAGCACAAGGAGACTTGCTTCTGGGGGACATGGGCCAGGGCATTCCCTTCAAACCAGGCTCCTTTGATGGTTGTATCAGGTAAGAGACTTCATGCTTTGCTCTTTGTTTGCAGACCACTGCTTCCCATACCTGGCGGTGCAGCAGAGTCATGTGGGAAACTGAAAATTATACATCTTATGGGATTTTCAGGTTAATAAGGTCTGAGCAAGGCCCCCAAATAGGTATTTTTTTGTATTTCAAAACTATCTACTGTGATTCTCCTGCACTGCCAGAGGTTCAGGCACCTCTGATATAGTTTCTCTGTCTGCTTTGAGTGTGTGTGGTAGAAGACGGGTGGTCTTCCAGGCCACTAGGAACCATCTTGGGGGGCCCCGTGGCTATCTCGTTGCTTTTTTGAAGGACTCTGGTGGAGAGTTTCCTAGATTGCTCCAGTCTCTTCAGCATTTTAGGGCTCCTTTCTGGGTTATCAGTCAAGTTTTGAGCGTGTACATAGAACTTTAATAATGGATCTTAGACCATTGATGTTACTGTTAAAAGACATAAAGTTCTTTGTCTTTTGTGGTTAAGTTCTGTTTAATATTTGGTGAGTTTTTTTCCTCTTTCTAGAATCAATTAAAAATAAAAAAAATAAAAAAAAGCTTTAAAAAGAACGCAGGAGAGCTTTGAGAAAGGAGGATTGGGAGTGGTCTTGAAGGGTGGGAGAAATTTGGAAAATCAAGGAGGGTTTCTGAGTGAAGGAATAATGTGAGCAGAGCCATGGAAGTGGGTGGGGAAAGGAGTCTGAGAGATCATGGGCATGAATGAGAGATTTCATGGAAGTTGAGACTGTATAGACTTGGGTCCTAGAAGATTTTTAGTTATTTTTGTTAATCCTCACTTGATATATTTTTTCATTGATTTTTAGAGAGAGGGGGAGAGAGAGAAACATTCATGTAAGAGAGATACATCGATTGGTGCATGGGCTGGCACTCTAATCACTGAGTCAATTGGCTAGGGCCTAGAAGGTGTTTTTTTTTTAAAACTCCATCCTAAGAAGTTGGGCTTTATTTAGTAGTTCTTTGTTTTAGGAAGATTATTTAGGAGTCGAAGAAAGGAGAGATAGGTTGTTGAAAGAATTGAGATGGTCATTAGTGCTGACCTAGGAGGGTGGTGGAGGAAAGAAGAAGCTTGGAGAGGCAGTGGGGCCAATCAGCAGGGTTAGTTTGGGGTTCTGGGGATGGGTAGGGTGTTCACAGCACCAAGGAAGGGAATGCCAGAAAGGACATAGTAGCTGTTTGAAAATTTAAGTAGAAGGAATTGATTTTGGAAGAGAGTGAATGAAGGGCTTTGTAAGTGCTGTAAAACATTTCCCTTGATTTTGGAACAAGGGAGTGTGAAAGGGTAGGTGGCAGAGAGAGCCTTGATATGATGAGTAATTTTGAACTTTAGATACATGTAGAAAAAGGTTGAGAAACTGTTTCTTTGGGCTGGCTGCAAGGAAGTTAATGCCCACCTTCTGGATACCCAGTGCTGTAGAATAGTGACCTGGGGTGGACCTGCACGTGCCAAGAAAGGGAGTGGGCAGGAAGGTTTTACCTGGACATCAAGGATGTGTGGTGTATGAGTCCTGAAGAGGCAGGGGTGTGCTGGTCACTTTCCTGATGAGGTCCCTTTCTGTTTTAGCATTTCTGCTGTGCAATGGCTCTGTAATGCTAACAAGAAGTCAGACATTCCTGCCAAGCGCTTGTACTGTTTTTTTTCTTCTCTTTATTCTGTGCTGGTGAGTATAAGATCTCCCCATCTGGGCTGGCCGCCTGTCCTCCCTTGCCCTGCAGGTAGAGTGATGAAGTAGAGGAGTCCCATAGCAGGGCTATTGAGGTGGGACTGCATGGAATGGCAGAACCTTATTGTGATCCTCAGCCTGAACTGAAAATTCAGTGGGCTAACACTCCCTAATGAAATGCAAAAGGTGCTGATGTCAAAATATGAGACAAATTAAAATTTCTGTGTCCACTGTGCTGAATTTTAATCAGAAGTTGGTTTGGGGACATTATAGATTCACAGAATGAGGACAGGGACATCGTGTCCAGGACACACAAAGCATACCTTCCAGACTCCCACCCCGTGCTCCTCCCACTGCTGATGCTCAGAAGGGGAACAGGGTGGTGTTTGCCTCTCTGCTAAGATGCTCTTCCCTCATATGTTTGAATGTCCAGCTCCCCCATATATTCAGGTCTCTGCTCAAGTGTCTCTAAGAGAGGCCTTCCTTGAGCCAAAAGTAAACTCCTTAGTCTCTTGTCACTCACAATCCCTTTGTCCTTCTAAGTTATTTTTCTTTTTGGCTCTTAATCACTACTGTAAATTAGTTTGCTTCCTTTACTAAAATGTGAGCTCCAAAAGTTCAGCGAGGCTCACTCTTTTGTTCATAGCTGTAACCTCAGCCCTAAGAACAGTGTCTTATGCATAATGGGAACTCAAACATCAGTGAATAAGAAAGGGAGGAGTGTCTGGGTCCAGACCCCATGGGATACTTGTAAGATAGTTAATGTTTCTGTTTCTTGCAGGTCCGTGGAGCCCGAGCTGTTCTGCAGCTATACCCTGAGAACTCGGAGCAGGTGAGCCTCTTGGCTACTAGAGGTGCAGGGAAGGGGGAGGAGCCTAGAACAGGTAAACTGTTCTTATCCTGCTCCTCATCACCTGCCCTCCATTCTGCTCCTCACCTGCCCTCCTACTATTGGGAAGTGACAGAATAGGGTCTTTATGCTGGTTGGTGGGAAAAGGAGAGAATGAGTATCTGATAGTAGTTCCTGTGGCTCCTGATGACATATTTTATGATTTGATATCCCAAGGAGGAGTGGTGGGTGTGGAGTAGGGTTAATGTGATATATTAACTGATTTTCATAACCAGATATATAAATGGGGGGTGGGGGGGCTGAGAGAATATCAGCAGTTGTCTGTTCTATGGAGTGTAATTTAGTATGAAAGAGGAATGAGGAGGATGGAGTTACCGACTTGAAAGACAAGTTGTGAGCTGTCCCTGACTAATACCATGAATGAGTCTGCCCCCAGTATTGGCCATTCATTTCCTGAGATTTGAGTGAGTAGATGGATCCCTGGGCTAGAAAGTAAGAATTGCTTGTTCGGTAATTCCCTTGAGGGGCTGTATGCCATGGCTGGCTTTAGCCTGCACTTTCCTCTATGTGGCTTTTGGGGACTCAGAATTGGGAACAGTCTAATAAAGAAGACCTTTAGTTCTCCCAGGCACAGTTCATCCTGGAACCAGACTGGCTTAAGAGGAGTGAGGGAAAGCAGTGTGCTCCCCCAGCTTCTCTATGACTCACCAATGTTCTCTCCTCAGTTGGAGCTCATTACGACCCAGGCCATCAGGGCTGGTTTCACCGGTGGTGTGGTGGTGGACTACCCCAACAGTGCCAAAGCGAAGAAGTGAGTGCTGCGGGCCAGTGTGCTGCTTGCACTGCTGGATAGAGGTTGGTGGTGTGGATCAGAGTAGAAGTGCAAGGGGCACTACTGGAAGGGAAGGTGAGGACTTAACTTACACTACAAGGCTTTATGACTCCTGGAACTTTTCTTGTTTTAGGTTCTACCTCTGTTTGTTTTCTGGGCCATCAACCTTTCTGCCAAAGGTGAGGGACTCTGAGTTGTCAGGTGTGTGTCTTCTGGGTTTCCTTCTTGTGAGGCTGGGCCTAGTACCTGTTGAAAGGGCTTAGGCTTGGTGGGTACCCAGGCCTTTTGGGGTAGGGCAGATGGGTTTAGAGTTCTCTCGATGTGTGTAGGATGCTCTAAAAGAACTCTCGTTCCTACAGGGCCTACATGAAATTAAGGAAGAAGAGGAGGCAAAGGAATCCACATTCACTAACAGGAGGTAAAGCGAACCGTAGGTGAACTTGCCTGAGGTTCAGGGAGTTACTGCCACTAGGTTTACTAGACGTGGCAGAGGAAGCTGGAGGTGGCAAGACCACTCCATTTTTTCTCTGCTTTCACCAAGTTCTGGACCCCATCCCCTCTTGGCCCCTGTGACTATCCCTTCTCCTGCACCCTCATCTTTACTCTCCTGGGCTATTTTTATCAGCTCACAGACATGCTACACAATTTCTCATGTCTACTAAGAGATTATCCCTTTACTTCTTAACAACTCCAAGCTACCACCCTGTTTATTTGTTTCCCTTTATATCACAAAACTCATATCTGCCTATTCTTGCTTCCTCTCCTACCACTCTCTGTCCTCTTCTCTGGCTTATGCTTCTATCTCTTCACAAATTGCTCTTGTCAAGGCCACCGCCAACCTGTCTTGCCAAATGTATGGTCACTTTTGTTTTTCCCCCTACTTTATCTTTTTTTCATTAATCCTCACCGGAAGATATTTTCCATTGATTTTTAGAGAGGGAGAGGGGAGAAAGAGGAGGGAGGGAGGGAAACATTGATGTGAGTCACATTGATTGGTTGTCTCTCCCACATAAGTCCTGCCCAGAGCTGTGGTTAGAACATGCATCCCAGGTATGTGCCCTTGCCTGGATTTGAACCCTAAACTGCTTTGGTGTGTGGGTCGACACTAACCACTTAGAACACTGGCCAGGGCCTTTACCTTCTCTTGCCTGCTCAATAGGACCTGACTCAATAAGACAGCCCATGACTGTCTTAACACCTTCCTTACTTGGCCTCCCACTCACTATCATAGTTTTCTCTTAACCTTACTGATTGTTCCTTCTCAGTCTACTCTGCTGGCCCCTCTTCTAGAGCAGCAGTTGCTAACTGGTGGTCCATGAGATCTGAAAGGTAGGTGACTGCTTTTCTAGAGCATTCTGGGGCCCAACCTGAACTCCTTCTCTCTGCACGGCCTTAAACACTAACTCTCAGATTTATATCCTTGGCTTCAATTCCACCTCTGATTTCCAACCCACCTTCTAAGTACCCATACCTAAACTTCCCACCCTATCCATACCTGAACTTCCCTCAGATGTCTCAAACAAAACAGAGCTTTTAGTTTTCACCCCCAACTTCCTTTCTCCATTCTTTACCATTCTCACTTATTCTTATGTTCCTTACATCTCATAACCAAACAATCCATCTGCAAGTCCTGCACCCCTCTTCTCAATGAATATCCCAATTTGAACCTTTTCCCCCACTCCCACCTGATCTTAAGTCACCACCAGTCTTGCCTGGATTATTGAAAGCAGCTTCATGTGTCTCCTTGCTTTTAGTATTTGTTTCTTTTCATTTATTTTTTGTGCTGCAGCATGACTCTTTCCCTTTTCTTTGTTAAAAAAAAAAAAAAAATCTTGCCATTTTTCTGTTTGTTATCTTTAGTTCAGTTCTCCTTACCATTCTCTAGATCTTGGCTATTTGTATCCCCAATTAGAATGAAAACTTGGTGGAGACTGGTATTATGTGCCTGCCATCAGAAGAGTATCTTGTTAAAGATATTCAGTATTTGTTGAACATGTTGAACAAGATAGTGAAGGAGTTATTTCTTAGTTCTGGTTGTATGGGTGGAAGGTGTTAAGACTTTGAAGACATTTAAGAGGAAAAATGGGCAGAGAATTGAATGAGTTTAGAAGGCCCACTGGTAGTGAAAATCATGATTGCGCTCTTTGTGTCTATCACAGAGTTATGCTGTCTGATTGCTTGTCCCTCAGTAGTTATCTCTCTCACCTTCCTTTCTCAGCCCATTCCCCATGGGGACTTAGCTCTTCTAGATGTTTTCTGTTCTAGGGCATCCACCACTTGCCCTCAGTGAGCGATCCCATTTCTTGCTTCACAGAGGAAGTGCAAGCTGTTTAACTTCCTCTATCCATCTTAGGATCCCTCTTGTCCTCACACCAGTGTTTACAGACTATATGTCCTAACTGTAAATTTGGATAAGTTTTGTGACCTGAGCATCCATTTTTATATTTTAAAAGAGGGGATATTGCCACCCACTTGGGCAGTGTCTTGTGTAGAGAGCATGTTTGTTCAGGACCTTGTCTCCCCTAGTTCTGCAGGCTCTTCCTCTTCCCTTCCAGGTTCCCAGATTTGGGAAGGAAAGGAGAGAGGCTCTTGCCTATTACAAGTATTTTTGGGCTTCTCCCATTACTATCACTTCTCTCTAATCACATCTGGCCACTTATAAATATGTGAGTTTAAAAGTTTTAAAAATCTTAGCCCTATGCCAAAACCGGTTTGGCTCAGTGTATAGAGCGTCGGCCATGCGGACTGAAAGGTCCCAGGTTCAATTCTGGTCAGTGGCATGTACCTTGGTTGCGGGCACATCCCCAATAGGTGTGCAAGAGGCAGCTGATCGATGTTTCTTTCTCATCAATGTTTCTAACTCTCCCTTTCCCTTTTTCTCTGTAAAAAATCAATAAAATATCTTTTTCATCAATGTCTCTCTCTCTTTCCCTTTCTCTCTGTAAAAAATCAATAAAATATATATTTTTAAAAATTCTTAGCCCTGGCCAGTGATGCTCAGTGGTCAGAGTATTGATCCACTCACCAAAGGGTCGCAGGTTCTATTCCCAGTCAAGGGCTTGTACCTTGGTTGCAGGCTCAATCCCCAGCCCTGGTTGGGATGCACGTGGAAGGCCGCCAATGTGTGTGGCTCTCATGTCAATGTTTCTCTCCCTCCCACCCCTTCTACTCTAAAAAATCAATGGAAAGAATATCCTTGGGTGAGGATTAACAAAACAGAAACTTTACCTAATTTATACATTTATTTTGCATCAATATTGTTCCACTTGTGCATTCCTTAATTCTTGCTATCTGGCCTCCACCCTACCAGGAAATGGTGGTCACTTAAATGGCCAGCATCCTTGCTTGATTTGAATTACACTAGAAACAGTGTAATCCCATCTGCCAGGTGGGAAAGTGGTTTGGGTGCCCAGGCTTTTTCCTTGTTCTCAGGGCCTCTTTTCCATGGGGCTGCAGGGGGTTTCTTTTCTCCTCAGCCAGGGCAAGAGGCCAAGATCAACCCTTGAGGGTTATTGTCAGGGCTGTCATGAGCTGAGCAGCCTTGTTTTCCTACTTCAGACATTTATTACTGGGAGCCCCTACTTGATGGGGTATGCTGACCTCACCACCAGACTTGGGCCTTAAGTGGCACCTGTGGGCATTGGGTCTCTGACTTTCTGTGGACATTGCTAGACTCTTGTGAACCAATCCTGACCTAGGTTGCCCCTGCCTGCCTGCTCCATAAGCAGGATGTGTGCAGACCCAATAATTGGTTACCTACTGCAAATATGCCTGCAAGTGAGTGGGGCCTTGCACCTTCTGCCCTCTCTATATAAATTGCTTTTGACCCCAGTGGATGTTACCATGATGTAAGTGGTGGTGGAGGATGGGTGGTTCAACAATGCAAATTTTATATATATATATATATATATATATATATATATATATATATATATATATTAATATATATATTTTAATTGATTTTTTACAAAGAGGAAGAGAGAGGGATAGAGAGTTAGAAACATTGATGAGAGAGAATCATTGATCAGCTGCCTCTTGCACACCCCCTACTGGGGGATGTGCCTACAACTATGGTACATGCCCATGACCAGAATTGAACCTGGGACCTTTCAGTCCGCAGGCTGACGCTCTATCCACAGAGCCAAAATGGTTTCAGCCGATGCAACTTTTATTGTAGAACTAGAGGTCTGGTGCACAAAAACTTGTGCAGGGGGGGTGGTGCGCACGCTAAACCCCGCCTGCGCCCTCTCACAGACTAGGAGCCCTTGGGAGATGTCCTACTGATTGCTTAGGCCTGCTCCCTGGCCTCCCTCTGTGGGAGGTGACCAGCAGGGCAATCGGAATGGCACCTGCAAGTGAGTGGCATCTGCTTGCTGGCACCTGCCTTGGCTGGGTGGTGCTGCCCCTCCGCCTACCGGGCTCCTACCATTCGGTCAATTTGCATATTAGGCTTTTATTATATAGGATGGGCACCATTTTTTCCTGCCTGGATTAACTTGGGTGCCAGTCAGGCTGTTTCATGCATCAGTTCACAGTTGTGTCTCCGCACAGGGTCCAGAACAGGGTTGCACGGAGAGGGTTGGTGAGGAAGACCCGGGAATGGGTGCTGGAGAAGAAAGAACGCCGTAGACGCCAGGGCAAGTGAGTACCTGGGTCAGGGGTAGCTGCTGGGGATAAAGGGAGGTCCTGACTAGTAAAGGCTCACCTACACTTGAGGGGTCCCAAAGTACTTTGTTCTTCTGAAACTTTTCTATTCTTCCTGCCCGTTATTCACAGGGAAGTCAGACCTGATACTCAGTACACTGGCCGCAAGCGCAAGCCCTACTTCTAAGCAGTTCGCTGCATTGAATGGTGGGACAGCTCGGGATCCACTTGCTTCTGGAAAGTATCTACTTCATCAGCTGACAAAATAGGGTTTAGAAAAGTTCTAAAAGCCCTGACCAATGTAACTCAGTGGTTAGTGTCAGCCTGCGCACCAAAGGATCATGGTTCGCTCCCTACCCCTGGTCGGGGGGTGTGCAGGAGGAAGCCAATTGATGTGTCTCTCTCACATCAACGTTTCTCCCTCCCTTCTATTCTCTCTGAAGAAGAGAAAAAAATATCCTCAGGTGAGGATAACAACTGCAAAAAAGTTCTAATGCTGTTTTCTTCTTAAAAGTTCTAATGGCATCTTATTTTGTTGTAAAAGTAATAAACCACTTTCTATGGAACTCTGGCATTTTCCAGTTCTATGGTCCTCTTCTATGGAACAAATTTAAGTTCCTCTGTTGGTGGTATCTACCACTTGATTCCATGGGTCTAAACAGAACTTAAGAGTGCTTTTATACACTTAAAGGAATAGGTAGATTTCTTTAATTTAGGCAAATTTAGGAAGGATGGACAGGATGAAATGTATGCAAAGTACCTATTGGCCTGAGGAAGGAGGCAGGGATCATTTGCCCTCTGAGCCCCTTCCCCATATTGTTATACATGTTCATCTTTAAGTCCTAAGGCCATGCCATTGTAATAGTAAGAAATCTAGAGCAGAGGCACGGTACAGATACAAATGTTTATTCTACATAAAAATTTCACAAAACAGGCAGCTGGTTGTACCAAGACCTTTGGTGAAGGGGTAAAGGAGGGGAGGGAAGTCGTTAAAGAAGGCAACACGCGGACAGTGGTCACAGTCACTGGACAGGAGCAAAGCTGAGGAAAGGTGGGGCTTGGACATGGCCCCATCCCCTATTGCATGCACTCGCATGCACACTCCTTGCCTGTCAACAAGGAAGAAGGGGTCTTGAAGTGAGGGCATGTTTCTGACTTGAGAAGCCCCGAGATGGTGGGGAGGGAGGTACCCCTCCCTGGCTGGCTGCTGAATACTGCATCCAAGACACCTGACACTCATGTGGCACATCAGTGGGGAACAGCAAGGGCAGGACATGACTGCAGGCCTGAAGTAACATCTGACTTCCCAGAGCACAAGAGTGGGGACTACAGTCCCAAACATGCAACACACAATGGCTTGAGGACCCGGCTAAGGCCTGCTGGGGAGAATGGCTGGTCCAGGCTGTGGGCTTGGCCTGACAGGTCTGATCTGTTTCCCTGGCTCTAAGGGTGGCTAGAGACCAGGCACCAGCCAGCCTCTTCCAGAATGTTATCTGGGGTCAGGCATAGCCCAGGGGGGTTGCTCCTGGGGCTCTAGGGATGTGGGGAGGTTGAGGCAGCCGAAGACCTGTCGGACTCTGCCCCTAGGTAGGGGAGAGAACCTGGTCTTGACACAGCCAGAAGCTACCTGGCCACAACACCCTGAGCCTCCCTGGCAGTGACTGGCTGTTAGAGGCTTAGAGCTGGGCTGTCTCTCAGGGCCATCCCTCCCTCCCCTAACCTGAAAAGCAGCACCATGTGGCCAGCTGATCCCCACCCCTCAGGGGGCTGGGCTTACGGGGGACAGCTGGAGAGGACAGGATAGATGGTTGGATCAGCAGGAGGCAAGGTTGGGGTAGAGAGCCTTGATGCAGGGAGAGGGCAGGCCCCAGGTTGAGTGGAATTACTGAAGGCAGAGGAAGGGGGAACATGGCTACCTGGGCAGCTCTGCCTGGAAGGGTGAGGCAGCCAGGCCAGGGCCTGAGTCTGTCCCTTGCTGACAGGATCCCCACCCCGCTGGTGGTCTCCCAGCCTGGCTCCCCTCTGCCTCTTGTATAGACACACTGTTACAAAGATCATGCACATGACGGCTCAGGGCAGGGTGGGTATGGAGGGGCCCCATGGCAAAGAAAGGAGGGGGCTCCGAGCCAAAGGGAGTCAGCAGCCAAGGAGCTTCCTTAGTGTGGACCATCCAGAGTGGAGAGGCAGGTGGGGCTAGTTTCTATCCAAAGATACCTCCAAAGATAGAGGCAATGACGATGCCCAGGACCACACAGCAGATGATGATCATGATCTTCTTCTGCACCAGAGAAGCGGGAAGGAGAGGCCTCAGAGCACGGGAGAGGCTGGAAGTGGGCCGAGCTTTTAGGGGGTCGGGGCTATTGGGGGAGAGGACTGAGAGTTCGAGAATCGGGGGCTAATGTGGAGGGAAGGTGATGACCTGGAATGGGCCTGAGGATGGTTAAAATGAGGCACTGGAACCTGGGAGAAGTGGGTGAAGTTACAGTAGAGCTGAGAGGTGGGGCAGAGGCAGAGTGAGGCGGGATCTGTGGTCACTATGGGTGTGCAGGAAATGTGGTTGGGTAGAGTTGGGGCTACTGACCCGGCGTGCCTTGCTCTGGTACTTGACAGCCTTTTTGGTGTCAGACACGGCCCTCTCCACGTAGTCCACCGACTGCTCCACGTTGTACTCGATCCTGTCAATCATCTCCCCCTGCAGGGCCAGGGGCACCCAAGCTCCAGAGAGCCGCCCTCAGGGCCAGAAGGGGGCTTGAGGCAGGACTTTAGGAAAGTGCCCTGAGATTAGAGAGAGAGAAGGAGTGAGGAGGATGGGGTACGCTTCTCACCTGTGTCCTGCAGCCCAGGCACCCCTGGTAGCTCCGGCCTCTCCCTGCAGAATAGCCATCCTAGGGAGGGAACTGGCCATGCAGTCTCAGCCAAGGGCTTGGGGACATGCAAAGATCACTCAGCTGGGGCCCTAACCTTAGTGCCTGGTGCAGGTGGGCCTGACTGTGGCCACAGATCACAGGTGACCAGTGAGGCCCCCTTTCCATTGGTGGGCCTGACGGTTTTGTCCAGCTCTGTATTTGGTCTTCAGCCTTGAAGGCCCTCCCCCGACCCCACCCAGCCACATCTTATCATCATCCTCTTGGCACTGCCCCAAATTCCCAGCAACAACATGCTGACAACTGAAGCTCTCCAAGTCCATCGCTTCCACAGGCATCCAAGTCACCCTAATCTCTCACTGGGATGGCAGCAGCAGCATCCTCGTGACCTCCCTGCTTCCTGACTCGGGTCACACATTCCCATACATCCGACCTGCCAATCCAGAAGAGACTGCATCTGCCAAGGCCCCCCCTGTCTTGCTCATCTCCAGCTGCCCCTGTGCTCCAGCTGCGTGGACCTCCTTTCGCTCCTCAAATATGGCAAGACTATGGTGTTGCTGGTCCCTCTGCCTGGGCCAACTCTTCATTCTTCCTCTGGGATGCTCCAGAGCTCAACACCTACCTCCTCAGAGAGGCCTTCTCTAGGCATGCCATCCAAACTGGCTTCCCTATCAAAATGGTATTCCAAGTATGACCCTTGGACTAGTAGCATCTGCATCACCCTTGAGCTTGTTAGAAATGCAAATTCACAAGCTCTTACCCCGACCTACTCATCGGGGAATGGAGATTTGAAACAGAAACAAGAAAACAAGCCCTCCAAGTGATTCTTGGGCACTTTAAAAGGTTGAAAACCACTGCTCTCTCACCATGCTGCTTTCTAACATCTCCTGAGCACTTGGCACAACTGGAGAATATTCCAGTTGTCATTTACTTATGCTGCCCTTCATCCAACAAACATTAACTCCAGAAAGAAGGCCCTCAGCTGTCCTCGTCACTGCTATATCTCCAGCTCCTAGAAAAATGCCCATACACAGTGCCTACAAGACAAACAGCTGGTGGGTAAGACAGGGAAATATGGGTAGTGCCATGCAGGGCTTGGGACCCTGAAGGGCCAAGCAGAGCCATGCAGTGATGGGCCCGGTGGCTGAGCCATGCAGAGAGGGGCCGTTAGGTGAGGGAGGCCCTGAAGGCATTTTCAATAGCAGGTGGCTAGTTACCTGGAGATTCGGTCCCTCCCAGGCAGGGCAGCGTGTTGGGCAGAAAGGGTGGGGGTTAGGGCAGACCTGGGTGCTGCCATGGGCTGGGGGGGCAGGGCAGTGGGGCCCCAGGCCCTCACCTGGCTCTCCACAAGCATGGCCATGTCCATGAACATGTCGTGCAGCTCACGGATGCTGTTCTCCAATTTAATGATCTCACTGTGCCGGGTCTCAATCTCACTCAGAGCCTGCTTCGAGATGCTGGAGTCCATGATGATCTAAGGATGGGAATAATGAGCTGGGACCCAGGAACTTGCAGAAGGGGGTGGGAATGGGAACCAGGACAGCAGGAAGCCAACTACAAAGGCAGCTAGAATGGGCAGTGGCCTGTGCAGAATGTTCTGGAAGGAGGATCTGAGGGTTTAGCCCTCTCCCCACTTTCTGCTCAGCTCTTACTAGTTGTACTATGGGGCTATTAATACTCCCTACCTGTGTTTGTGCATAGTAACTGCTAAGTGATAGTTCTTATCACCAATGGTGTATAGAGCCCAAGATGACTGCCCCATGGACCCAGATCTTAAACTGCCTTTCTCCTGTCCTCTCTCCTCCTGTTCTTCTTCCTGCACTGAATGTAGCTGTCCCCCACTTTCTCCTAACACCCACACTCCGAAACTCCTCACTTGTAACTAGTTTCTTCAGGAAGTCCTCTGCTCAGCAGAGAACCGAGCTTCACCTGAACTTAGAGATGGCTATGGGCACCATGCCCTCCGAGAGGGAAAAAAGGTCCTGAGGCTGGTGGAAGGAGGCCCACGCTGGTGTGAAACGGGCAGGGGAGCAAGGAAGTGGGTCCAACTGAGAGGAACCAGACCTTTGCCACTAACGTTTATATGACCTCGCCCTCCCTGGGACTTGTCCTTCTCTAAAAATTGTCTTACAAAGTGGCTATGTCCAAATATTGCCCATACCATGCCCTCCAGGGTCCTGGTAAGGAGGAGTCCCTGTGGGAAGGGTGGAGTCCACACTTACCCCGGAGGCAAAGATGGCCGGATTCCCACTCTCCAGCATGTCCTCTAGCTCGTCACTGGTCGTGGTACGGCCAGCTGCAAGCAGGGGTCACAATGAGTGGCAGCCCAACCCAGGGAGCTCAGCAGCAGCCCTGCTCTGCACCTCAGCCTTGGCCCCACTCCTCAGCCCTGACCCCACCCCCTGAGCTTACTGATCTCCAGCTGCCTCTGTATCCGGCCTTTGCAGCGCTCCCTGTAGTCACACTGCGTCGCGTTGTACTCAGACATGACTTCCACGAACTTCCGGGACAAGGTGGAGTGCTAGGGGTCCAAGACAGGCGTACAGGTGTCAGGCCCAAGCCCCGCGTGGCCCAAGAGTCTCAGAGGCCAGCTGCCCACTCAAGAGGCCCAGCCCCCACCTGTGTCTTCCGGATCCTCAGGTCAGCGGAGGACCGGTTCAGGCCTTCCTCCTGCTCGATGCTCTGCTCGATGCCTGGAGGAACAGATGGCTGCTGAGCCATAATCTGCCCCATTCACCACTGACCCCCAACCCGCACACTTGAGGATCTGGCTTAGGAACTCCCCTGGGCAGACTTGTGTGGCCTGTAAATGGGAGCACATGGGAACCAGAGGAAAAAGGAGGGCCAGGCATTGATGGAGGAGGAGCCAGCCAGGACCTTCTAGGCATGATGCATGAGTAGGTGAATGCACATAGGCACTCACACTCCTCTCAGTGTGAGCATCTACTATATGTCAGACCCAGTGCGCAAGCCCATGCTGTCTCTCTCCTGCCCAGCAAGGCTGTACACCCAACATGGGGCCATGTCCTGAGTGGAAAGGGTCAGGTGGTTGCCACCTGCAGGGTACACAGCCCGAGGTCTGTGTATTCCAGGCATGCACCTCTATGCTCATACAACCACATGGAGGCTCTGTGTGGAACTAGGCAGTGCTAGCTACTCCTCTAATCCTCTTTGGGTGAAGTGGGGGACAAGGCCCAGAGTGGAGCCCTTCCTGGACGAAGCCAAGGGCCAGCCCAGAGCCTGGCACACTCAGGCCAACAAGATAGCTGTTGAGTGAGTGGCACAGGATGGTAGCCTCATACAGGAAAGCAAGACCCAATGTACCCCCTCACGGTTGATGGAACCCCATGGGCTGCGTGGAGGAAGCAGGCTTGGAATGCCCCCCACCTTAGACAAGGCTGGAGCCCAGACTCACTCTTCAACTTGGAGCGCACTTTGTTTGCTGTCTTCTTTATGTCAGACATGAGTTCCTCCAGCTCCTCCTTCGTCTCTGGGGAGGCAGAAGAGGTGGGGGTAGACACCCTGGGTTCCCCCATGCCAATGTCCAGGCCCAGCCTCCTTCACAAGGGGCCCATGGAGGGGGGCTCTGGACAGACCTGGGTCTTCCTTCCTCCTTGAGTAAGGTTCTGCCTGCCCCACCCTCCAGTCTTGGGCCGGGGCCATACCAGCTGCAGCCTCACCCCCTCTCATGCTGCTTTCCAAGGAGCCTCCCTTCTTCTCTCACTGGCTCCCCCACCCCCTGCAGATAACAGATGGGTCTAAATTTAAGGCAGAAATAATCGTGGAGCAGCTGGTGGTGCTGGAGTTGGCACTGGGGTGCCTTTACTTGATACTTGCTTGAGTCGAAGCGGGGGGGGGGGGGTGTGAACTCACCTAGCATTACCTGGTGGCTAGGGGGCAAGCATCCAGCCGGAGGGCTGACAGAGCCAGGGACCAGGGAGGCAGAAGCCGGCCCCTACATCAAGCACCCTCAGTGGGGCAACCTTGTTCTATTCACAAAACCCCTCTCCCAGGGCGCTGAGCTCAGTGGAGGCCAACCGCTGAGTGCCCAGAGGGCAGATAGGGGCAGGATGGGGTAGAGCTTCAAAAAGGTGAGCCCCCAGGAGCACGGTTGGCTCCGGAGGTGGCAGGCAGCAGGGCCTATGAGAGGGTGAAGTTGGAGAAGGTCGGTAGCTGGTGTTTCTGGCCCTGGTTCCAAATGGAATCATCCCCCTAAAGCTGGAAGAAGCCATGAGGGTGCCCAACTTGCCTCATTCCCTGCGAGGTGTTGGTTGGCAAAAGGGGACCAATCAGCCGATGGGTGGAACAATGGGTCCTGACAGCACCCCCGCCTCAGGGCAGCCTCTAGTCCCGGAGAAACCATAACTGAGCTCCTGGCCGCAACCTTTTCCATCCACCCTCTGCTTGCCTCCAGGGCTGGGGCTTCTATAGGGGTGGGGAGGGCGTTCACAGTGGAGGGTCCGGTGAGGCCACTCCCTAGTGGAACAGGAGTGAGTGGAGTCGGGGGCTTAAGGAGCGGAGGAGGGAGTCTCTCCCTCGAACAAAGGAAAACTTGGTTACCAGCTGCTCTAGCGTCTCAGCCTTTTTAGCTCAGACCCAAAATAGCCCAGTCCAGACAGCAGCTCCCAGCGGAGGCAGAGCCAGCCTAAGCCCGGGAAAGTGCCCCCCCAACTCACCACTATCTTTTCTCGTGACTCCTCCTCAACTCTCCTCGCCTTTGCCTTAAAACCCTTCCCTTTACTCAGCCCACGTCAGCGACCTCCTGACCGCTCAGCTCACAGGTGACAATTCTGAACTGGTCGCTGCCGACCGACCAACACGGGGAGAAATGCCGAAGAGCACGAGGGAGGCCGGGAAGGAGCCGGGCAGCTCATCACCCCACTGGGCACCCCACCTTCCAGCAGGTGAGAGGCCAAGTCTCCAGCTGTTTACAGTTCCTGACCCATAATCAGCCCCTTCTCACCCGCCGTGACCCACCACTGACACCTACTGACCCACATACACCCGGGGACAGAGACAAACCATGTCGCATGCTGCTGTCCCAGACCAGCCTCTGGGGAGAGGGGGCTGCACTGGGGATAGGCCCTGTTTTGGGTGGTTCTCCTCTCCTTTGTGCCCCTTTCTGGGACAGTCACCCAGGCTCCCAGCTCACTTATTCTTCTTCCCAAGGGCTTGGCACTGTGTTTGGCTGAAGTGGCATTGGTCTTGGGTTCAAGCACACTTTGGGGCCATGAAGAGATTTTTGTTCCTGGGTAACTGAGGGTGTCTGTGGGCCTGGGGGTGAGGGGCCATGAACAGGGAGGCAGTGCTGGAGATGAAACTGAAAGCAAGCCCAAGTGCCTTGCAGGGTAGCAGGCTGAGAGCCCTGGCCCGTCACTGCCCCTGGGGCTGAGGGAAGGGGATCTCCAGCCTGCATGTTGTCAGCCTGGCACATAATAGTGTCGTAATCAACACCTCAACAGAGACTGTGACAGCTGGGTCAGGAAGACCTGTCTGGGCACAGGGCAGAATGCAGACACACGCAGGCTCCCTGTGCAGAGGGACAGAGGTGACTTCCTGGAGTCCTGAGAATGCCTGGCTCCAGGGTACCAAGGGCCAGATGTCAAGGCTGCCAGCTCTTTCCGGAAGCTCTGCCTGCTTGGCCAGCTTGCCCTCCTACAGCGTTGCTGCTTCAGAGCTGCCATCTGCTCCCCAGGGAGGCAAGGAAAAGGGAGGGGCGAGGCTGAGAGGCCTCCTATTCATGAGCGTAAGCTCCCCCTCCTTGCCTTCCTCCCAGAATCCCAGGGCTGCAGCCAGCCCAGGGCCTTAGGGAGGGCAGGCTGGCTGCCTGACCCGCCCAGGTCTCTGGAGGCCCACCCCTCCCACCACACACGTCTTTGTGGGAGACCTGGGTAGGCACTGACACCGCCTCCCTCCATCCTGGGCCTGGGACAGTGGTTTCCTGAGGTTCTCACAGAGCCCTCCCAAATCTGGCCAGGCAGCAGCGCCTTTCTGGAGAGCCCTATGGGGCCTCCAACCCAGCCCTCACACCTACACACTCACTCTCATCGGGATTGGGGGAGGCCAGGATGGCACTGTGCTTCCGCTTCACCTCCTCCACGTTCTCGGAGATCTTGTCAATGAAGCCTCGGATCTCCTCTACCTGCAGACCAAAGCCAGGGGATCAGGAGAAAATGCACAGACGGGGCCTCTCGGGCCTATGGCTTGTCCAGAGCGGGGCCGGAAGTCAAGCTTAGGGCCAGGCTTCCAGTGGTAATGGGGATAGCTGCTCCAAGTTCCTTCTAGACTGGGGTGAGGGAACTAAACTTTGCTCCCCTCTGAGCTACAGTCTATTCACTCTCAAAATAGGTTCATTAATTGGTGCCAAGGACCGCTGAGCCAGGATCAGGTGTGTAAGTGCAAGGCCTGGCTCCGAGCTGAGACGTGGACACTCAAGGCCTGCCAGCGTATGGGGAGACTGGTGTGCTGGCTCCCACCTGTTCGAAGAACTCATCCATGAAGCGGTCTCGGTCCACGGTGACAGTGACATCATCGTCATCATCGCTGTCCTTGGCCTGCACGGGGGTGGGGACACATGAGCATACCTGTAGTGAGACCACTGGACCAGGGGCCCAAACTGCCTGACATCCACGTACAGCAGGCTTGCAGGTTACAGGTCCAGGGCCCAGCCATGCCCCTCTGCCCTCTTGGCAAGGATGAGCCCTGGCTGTGCCCTCAGCTCCCAGCCCGGGGAGAGCTGAAAGATCCCTGGTGACCCAGCATAAGGAGAGGGGCCTTGCCTGTCAAGCTGGTAACAGGGCCAAGCCTCCATCTCCAGCCAAGGACTCCTCCTGCCCAGCGGCCTGCCCCTCACAGGACAGCAGTCCTCCCAGAGCCTCCCTCACTCTAGGGTGCTGCTCGGGAGGCCCTGCCATTGGCTGGGCAAGAAAACCTCAGGGATTTGTCTCCAGGCCACGGGGCCCCAACTGGCCTCAAGTGGGGCTTGGCGAGGAGATTTATGGAGACAGCTTGGAGGGGCCCCTCTCATCCAGAGATCACACCTCTTCCCCCAGCAGCTAAAACAACTCCTGGCCTGAGACAGGCCACCTGGAAGCCAGCGTTGTCCACTCCTCTGGCGAGGCGTTTCCACGCTCTCTTTCCCCCAGGGCTCTGGAAGGGGAGGCCTGGGCTGTTCCAGGCTGGGCATGTCATCGCCTCCCTCCCAAAAGGCTGGATGGTTCAGACACACACGAGGCCATCCCCACAGCACCCCAGCCATGCCTGAGAGAGACTCCTTTGTCTGGGGCCCATGCTACTTTACCCACACGGTTCTCTCAGGATCCTCTCTCTCCTGGTCAATCTTGACATGGGACCTTGACCAGAGCTGGGTCCAACAGGTACAAGAGACCAGTCATGTTACTTGGCTGGGGCTCGCCTTAGGAGCAGGTGTACAAAAGCCACCCTCATCACGGGGTGGGGACAATTATACCTGTGACTTCCCAGCATTCTGGCCATGCTCATTACTGTCCACCCCATACCTTGACTCAGCCACGGTCAGCCCCCTCTCCACAGCCAAGGCCAGGATACCCAGGGCAGGACGGTCGCCCTTCGGACTGGGATTCTTAGGCTCTGTCACGCCTCTTCATTTCTCAGTGCCCCAAGGGGAGGAGGCACTAGCTGGCTAGGCACTGGCCCTCACCTCCACGCTCTTACGTCAGGGCCCAGGGTAGAGGCAGGCAGAGGTCAAGGGATAGGGAAACGGAGGGACTTACGCTGTGGGTCTATCTCTTCTCCACAAAATGGGGACAGAGACCCCCGCCTGCAGGGAGGGAGGGCTGAGGAAGGGTGGGGAGGTGCAGCATGTTGTGAAGGGCTGTGCCCTTGGAGCGCTCGGGGTCCCACTACCCACCAAAATGGGGCTTGGCGAGGAGATGTATGAAGACAGCTTGGAGGGGCCCCTCTCATCAAGAGATCACACCTCCTCCCCCAGCAGCTAAAATAAATCCTGGCTCACACAAGTGCCTGCAGCTGCTACCAGGTGGCTCCCCTTCCCCCACCAAGCCCACCTAGAGACACAGGGAGCCGTTTCCACACGTTCAGGCCCTCCACCTCTAGGAAAACTGAGGCAGAGCGCAGCCAGGAAGAGCCCAGTTCCCCTTCCTGGGCAGCTTGCCAGGTGACCCTAGGAGCTCCAGCCATTCAGCGCCCTGCCCTCTCTGTTCTTCTGGTGCCCAAAGAAGGACGGGGTGGACTCAAAGAGGCAGAAGGAGCATTTTCCAGCTCCCTTCCCAGGAAGAGCAGTGACCAGCTAGAGCTAAAGACAAGGGCACCTGAGTCCCCAGAGATCAGTCATTGCCCAAGACCCCTAGGAATTGGTCTCGTGCCCCTGTCCGGTCTCATGTCTTCTTCAGATGTCCAGCCAGGCTGACCTGCTCCCTCCACAGCCTCCCCAGATTGAAGGCTGGACTTGGGTAGTTTCTCCAACAAAAGGAGGTTGGCAGGAGGGCCCTCCTCTAGGCTCTCCGTCTATGAGGGCAGGGCTGGGGCATGGCACACTCTGGGCTGGGGTCTGACTGGGGCACCAGGTTGGGGCATTCAGATGGAACCCAAAGACAAACTGGAGGGTTTAAAGCCTAACCAACCGGGGCTCCAAGCAAAACTTAGAGGGGATGCTCTAAGGGGACCTGTCGGAAACCGGCCATTGCCCCCGTTAGCAGAGGTGTGGACAAGGAATCCGAAGGCTGGTTAGCCTGAGAAGCCCTGAAAGGTCAGAGCCACACACTCACTATCTAGCTGAGACAGTGGTAGCTGAAGCAACTTCCACCTGTCAATCTTATGTAAATCCTTGCTGATTAGCTATTACTGGAATTGCCTGCCTCTATGGGTAGATACCAAACCTTAATAAAAAGGTGTAGTCCTGCCGAAACCAGTTTGGCTCAGTGGATAGAGCATCAGCCTATGGACTGAAAGGTCCCAGGTTTGATTCCGGTCAAGGGCGTGTACCTTGGTTGTGGGCACATCCCCAGTGGGGGGGAGGGGGGAGTGTGCAAGAGGCAGCTGATTGATGATTCTCTCTCATCGATGTTTCTAACTCTGTTCCTCTCTCTTCCTCTCTGTAAAAAATCAATAAAATATATTTAAAAAAGAAAAAGAAAAAAAAAGGTATAGTCCTCCCCATAGAGGTGGGCTCCCACCTGGCCCCAAATATCACCCAATTAATACTTTTCTAGTCTCTTTCATTTGTGTGCGGCCTCCTCCAGAACCAGACCCTGAACCTGAACCCTGAACCACTTGGGACGTGAAAGGGGTTCCCGCAGGGCCCCTTCCTTACTAAGTCCTACTTCCTTAGGACTTTTCACCCTCCTCTTCACCTCGCTGTCCCAGCCTGAAACCTGACCCCAGCACACCGCACCTATAACAAGCTCCCTACCTCTACAAGCCACCCTATGTCCTTCCTGCTTTCCCATGCAGTTCCCTGACATTCTCCTCATCCTTAGATGCCACCTCCTTCCAGAAGCCTTCCCAGCTCCCTTGGGTGAGTATCTTGCTCCTCGGGCTCCCCATACCCTATTCACATTCCTACTGGAGCCAGAGCCACAGACTATCAGGCCCTAAGGGATCTGAAAAGTCACTGTAGCCCCAGCTTCCAGCCTCAGCTGGCACCCTTCCTGTGACGGTGAGCGCATTAGCTTCCCCAGGCAGTTCTGCCCATCGTGGGCAGCCCCAATTGTTAAGAAGTCCTTCCCTTTCCTGGTTTTGGACCCAGGCCACTTTTTGGTGCCCTCTCCCTCAGCTGACTCTGCCATAAATCGGAAGGTAGCATCCATTTTCTACTTGGGTTTTTTCCCCCCTCAAGTTCACCATTCCCTCCCCTTCAGATCTTTCTCAGGGGCCCTAAATTATAGCTCCTGCCCCTGACTTGTTCAGTCTGACCTCTGTCTTCCCCTGTAGTGCAGGATGCAAACTGAACCTGTTGCTGATTGTGGTCTAAGCAGTGTCCAAGGATTAGCCCATCCCCTCCCTCTTTCTACGTAGTCTACCTCTGTTAATGCAGCCATAGATCACATAAGCGATCCGATAGCACTTCCTGCCAAGGAAGGCCTCAAGTAAAGGAACTTTTTTATTTCATTTTTTATTTTTATTCTGATCCATGTGGTTTGTGAGTCTGTTGACCCCTGCAACCTCATCCACATCTGGGCCAGAGCCCTGTAGCACCTTTCGTAGAAATGACTCCAGATTAATGCAGACCCCTAATCGGTCCTCACTGGACCTGAATAAATGACAAGGATGTAGGATGCCAGCACCCCTACCTCCCTGCCCCAATACAGACACATACTCCTGACCAAAAGGAACTGGGAACTAGGCTGGCACACCCTCTTCCTAGTGCCCTGGGCTGACCAGAGGGAATACCATACACAAACGTAAAGTGGGTATATTTGTTGAATGGGAATTAGGGCCTCAATTTCCCTTGGGAATCCATCCACCCTCTCCGAGTGGCAGTCACAGCTCTGAAGAGGCCTGGGTTGGAACGGGGGACTTGGGAGGCTTCGGCATGGAACTGGCAGCCAGAGCCAGGGGGCAAGTACAAGCCTGAAGGTCCAAACGTCCTCAAGATCAATCCACCAAGACACGTGGGCATCCTGCCTGCCACCTGCCCAACACTAGGCTCCGCCTCTTTCTCCGAACTTCCTCCTCAGAAACTCCCTGCTTAGAACCCCTGTCCCCAAAGGCTCCTCAAGTCAGAACCTGGGAAACATCTACACTTCCTCCTCCTCTCACATCCCACTAACATTCGATCTGTCCTGGTGCTTTCTGTTCATCTTTCAATGGTTCTCAACCCTGGTCCAGCACCAGCATCCCTTGGCAGGATTTGAAAAAAAACAAAACAAAAACAAAAACAAAAAACTTTCAGGGTCCTACCCCAGAGAGTTCAGATCAGAATTTTTGGGGTTGGGGCTGGGGAAGCCACTCAGGATTGAGAACTCACTGTTGGTCTGGTCTCACTCCTTTCTGACAGGTGGGCTGTCACAGCTCCAGCCTCACCACCTCCAGGAATAAATACCTGTCGGGATGGGAGGGGGTACTGCCCCCATCACAGCATGAGAAGGCACCGCTGGAGCCCCTGGCAAGACACCCTAAGCTTCCCCTGGTGGAGGCCAGGCCGCCCTGGTGGTCTCACCTGGCAGAGGCTCCAGGATTCCAGGAAACAAGCCTTTGATTCCTCCAAGAGGTGCCTGTGGGCCAGTCCCCAGGGATGGCAGCAGGCCAGCCGGCAGGGTTGATTCATTCCTACTGAGTAGGAGTTGCTGTTGTCTGCCTCACGGCTATTTTTTCCCCTTCTTCCTTTTAATGACTAATCAAAGTCAGGATCACTACAGGAGAGAGGCCCAGAGCCCGGTCCCCTGTGTGAGAGGCCATGCTGAGTCTCCAGGAAAGAGGGCTCTCCAGGCTGATCCTTCGGCCCTCTCCCCGTCCTGGGTAATCCCTGCTCCATCAGATCCCTTCTCTTAACAGGGCCTTAGGGGAGCTCAGGCAGTTTCAGGCCATGGACCGGGGCTGGGCTCTGCCCTTAGATACGGTGTGACCTTGGGTAAACCCCTGGCCCTTTCTGGACCTCTTTTCCAATTGGTAAGCTATGAGGTTGGACTAGATGGTCCCCAAAGAACATCTCAGCTGCATCCCAGGTGAAAATGTGCTCAAATACATTGCTTCTTTTGGGAAACCCGAAGGAGGTAATAGGAGAGAGGAGGGAGATGCTCCCCTGGGCCTGTACAAACCGGCCTGTTGTTGCTCTAGGACCCCCAGTCCCTTCCCACCAGTGAGAGAGAAGAGGGAAACTGGTGGGCCAAGGGGGGACACTGGACTTCCCATCCAGGGCTTCCCCAGCTGCTCCAGTGGGCTGGGCCCACTCTAGTCCAGGTGTTATGACCACCCACCATTCTCTCTCTGCATATCCTCACTCTGTCTGGTCCTTCCTTTTGGACCACCTTTCTCTGTCCCCACCCCACCCCCCAATTCAAATCAAACTCCTTCTCCTGAGTCATCCCAAGTCCCAATCTTCCATGCAGGTTTCTTCCCAGGTCTGGCAGCCCCAGCTCCCCCTCCTCCCTGTTCTCTGGCTCCTGCAGCAGGTCCCTTGTGTCCCACACCGCTCAGCCTGCAGATAAACAGTGTTTGGGTCCAGGGAGGGATGGATCTTCTCCAAGAAGTTCTCGGAGAGGAAGCCAGGGAGACTTCCGAATTGGGGAACGGAGGCAGCTGCATGCCAGGCAGGGCTGCCTGAGACACCTTGCCTCAGAAGTCTCCCAGGGCCCTGACAGGTTTGGCTCAGTGGATAGAGCGTCGGACTGCAGACTGAGGGGTCCCAGGTTTGATTCCGGTCAGGGGCATGTACCTCGGTTGCGGGCACATCCCCGGTGGGGCATGTGCAGGAGGCAGCTGATCGATGTTACTCTCTCTCATCGATGTTTCTAGCTCTCTACCCTCTCCCTTCCTCTCTGTAAAAAAAAAAAAAAAAAAAAAAAAAAAAAAAAAAAAATCAATAAAATCTATATATTTTTTAAAAAATCTCCCAGGTTGTAGGACTCTGGGCTTGTGTTTGTCCCTTTGAAGCCTCCGGTTGCCCTTCTGATCTCTGAGGGCTGCCTACAGTGTTGACCCTGAAGATCCCGTCACTTTCCGTATGAGAGGAGGAGACCAGAGAAGGCTGGAGGGTTGCACCTGGCCTGCAGAGTGCCAAGGACATGTGCCAGCTCCTTTACCAAATGTGACGTTTATCAATAAGCTCCCTTTGCGGGCCTTCCTTCCAAATGTGGTGGCATTGGGTGGGGAAGGGGGAGGAGGGGGAGGAAGAAGGGCTGAGGGGGTGGGAGCTGTTACCCCAAATACCACCTCTGTCCAATGCACTGGAGCAGCTGGGGAAAACCTGGCTGGGAAGTTCTGGCCTCGTGGTTCCTGGGGATTCTGATCTGAAAATTCTGACCCCTGCAAGTCTCCCCCCAAATATGGAGTCAGGGTCAGGAGACTGGAGGAGCCACGCCTCTTGCCCTAAGAATCTGGGTTCTAGGTTTTCCTATCTCCACTTCATAGATGGGGACTTGAGGCTCAAAGGGAAACTTGTGGGAATGGCAGCCCCCAACGGTCCCACCCCACCATTGTGGCTTCCTGTCAGCACCCCATCAGGGCTGCTAGAAACCCCTACTGGGCATGCCTCCCAGTGTAAGTATGGCAGCTTCCGTGGGCTCGGAATACCGGAGGGCTGGGGTTGGGAGAGGAACCCTCAGTTGATTCACAGAGAAACCAGGTCTTACCATTGAAGGGCCCACCGGGGCTACTGTGGGTGGGAAAGGAGAGGGTCACAGAGACACCTACCAGAGCAACAGACCTGGGCTTGAGCTCTCTACAACTCAGGCTTCCCCTGGGGGTCGCCCTGTCCTAATCAGGCCTAAGTCTGCCTGTCTTCCGGCTCGGCAAAACCCCTTTCTACCAGAATTCTTGACCTACAAGGTAAGCCACCTGCTTCTCCCTTGTGCCTCAGTTTCCCCTTCAGCAGAGGGGATAAAAGCTAATGAACCAGAGGTTCAATGTGGAGGACTGTGCTCCCTCTGACCACTGGTGGCCACGAGTACTCTTATCTGACCCGCCAGGCGCCCAAACATCAGCAGAAGCACCATAAGACCGTTCAATGCAAAGATAACTCCTCCTGACTCGACGCAGCACAGGAAACCTAAGGGCAACCACATGGGCTGGCAGGGAGGTGTTTAGACAACACACAGGGCATGAGGGACCATCTTCTTCCTGTGAAACCTCCCAGGGTTTACCCTGGGGGCTGGGCACTCAGAGTAATTGGTAGGGAAGGGGCTGGCGGCCAGAGCAAGGGGGAAATGAAGGCAGGAATGTACAGGTCCCAGTCCCAGGCACAAACGAACACGGGGAACCTCTGGGCAGTGAGGACAAACCCAAAGGACACTTGAAACTTTCCACATGAGGGGATCGAGGTCTCTGGCTTCAAGGCGGGCAGCAGGAGTGGGGTTCTGGAGAGCCACTGACCTAAGGCTCCCCCAGACAACAGCCAACAAGGCCTAGCAGCAGGGCTGTCAGACAGGGAACCAGACCCAACTCAACCTGGTCTAGAGCTACAGGCAGGCTTCATTTTTCTTCACTCCCCCCCATCCCCCGCTCCCTCCTCACCTCCACCCCCCAACCCCCAGGCCTGCGGTCCTGCCATCCCTAAGGGCAAACCTCTAGCTGCAAGGCAGAGGCCTGGGGAGGGCGCGGGTTTCAGAGGAGCAGGCGGCAGGGGTCGCTATCGGGTCCGGGAGAGGGTGGGCGCTAACTCTGAACCTTGGCGCACCCCACTACTCCCCCTAAACCCCGCCCCAGGAGACACACCCCGAGGGTTTTTCTGAGACCCAGGTGGAAAACGGGTTCAGTTCCGAATCTGACCGGAGAACCCCGGAAGGGTCTGGAAAAGCTGTTGCGGGCTGCCCGGAGGCCACGAAGGTGGACCGGGGGCGGGTCTGATCCCCATCTCGATCGGGTGGGGAGCCACAAGTGACGGGCGCTACAGGTGACGGGAGGTGATGGAGGTGATGGAGGTGATGGAGGTGACGGAGGTGACGGGAGGTGATGGAGGCGATGGGGAAGCTAGGAGGCTCCGAGTGGCGTCCTCCACGGAGCCCGGCCCCACCCGACCGCCGGTCCCACGGCACCCCCGGAGCGGGGCCCCTTCCCGCCGCGGCCAGGCTGTGTGTCCACCCAGAGCGGGTGCAGGAGGGCCAGCACCAGGCGCCGTGCGGGGGCAGAGGCTGGGCTTGCCCGCGGGCCGGGACAGAGGTCAGGCTTCTGCCCCGCCATCCACAGCCGATGCCTACCCCTCCGACCACCCCCCCCCCCCAAACAAGGAGGCGCCCAAAAGTTCATCGAGGACCCTGGGCTCCAGTCTCCAGCCCGCGGGCCGGCGAGACCGAGCTCGCGCCGGCCGTGACCCCGAGGGGGTCGGAGGGGTGGGATCCGCCGGGGGGTCCGGGCTCCCGGCTCCCCCACGCTCCCCCCGGGTCCGGGGCGAGGACGCAGGGGTGGCTGGCTGCCCGGTGACCCCCGAAGCCGGGCGAGGAGCGGCCCCGCGCGGGCGGGCGGCGGGCGGCGGCGCGCGGGGGCCGGACTCACCGTGCGGAGCTCCTGGGTTCGGTCCTTCATGCTCCCGGGAGTGGCTGCGGCGCCGGCTGCAGCCCGGAGAGCCCCGCATGCGCGGCGGCCGCCCTGCGGCTGCGCAGCGCCCGCCCGGCCCCGCCCCGGCCCCCGGGACCCCGGCCCGGCCCCCCGCCCGGCCCCGCCCCGCGCGCCCCGCCCCCCGGGGCTCAGCCTGGCTCAGCCTCGGGGGGCGCGGCTCCGTGTCCACACCCCTGACTGGGTCCTTTGTTGGGTCCCGGCCATGGGACCTCGTCTTCCAGCCTTGATGATGCGCAATTCCTGCCCTGATCAGGCCCCAGAGCCGCTGCTCCCTCCCTCGTCCCAACCTTCCCTTGTCCCAGCCCTCCCTTGACTCAGCCTTTCAGCCTCGTTCTGGACCCACCTAGGTCTTGACCTCCACAGTCCCTCCCATCCCTTGGGATTTGCTGGAGCTTGGAACCCCCACGCCCTTGATTGCATTGCTCGGACCCTCCAGCAACCCTTCCGAAAACCTCCTCCAGAGTTCCAGCCTCTGAGCCCCTGCCCTTTACTCTTTTCCTAATCCTCTCACATAGACTCGGGCTCTGACCCCCTCTTTCCCCAGAATTTCTCAGTCCACGGGTCTGATGCTGGATGACCATCCCCTTTCCTTTAATTTCCACTCCCAGCAGGATACAGGAACCCTTCTATCTTTGGGGAAGGGAGATCTAAGTTATACTCCCTCACTGTTCCCCACCCCTGTATCTCCAACCTTGAGCCCCAGCTCCAAGCCTAGGATTCTCTTTCCTATATAGAAGCTGGGACCCAGCTCCTTGTGGCACTAATGAGAAGACCTTAGCAGTACTGTGTGTGGGGGGAGGGGGGGAGCAGGGGGGGCTGCTAGTCAGAGCAGATGCTCCTTTTCTGGTCTCTGCCAGCATCTTGTTGAGACAACAGTCTCTCTCTCTCTCTCTCTCTCTCTCTCTCTCTCTCTCTCTCTCTCTCTCTCTCACACACACACACACACACACACACACACACACACACACCAGCTGTCCCCTCTGTGCCCTGGCCCATACCCTCTTGACCTCAAGCCAAGCAAACCCCTTTCCCTTCCCCATGGCTGCCAAGGTGTTGCTCTGGAGCTAGGCCAGCCCACTGCTGCCCAGCGTGTCAGGATCTGGCGCTTGTCCCAGACTATGGGTACAGGTTAGCTAGCTGGCAGACAGGCTAAAGACAGGGTTCTAGCCATCTCTGGGAAATCTGGCCCAAAAGTAGCTCGGATGTGGCCTGGCCTGAGAGATGGCCACACCTCTTCCAGTTGTCCAGACCTTCAATGCCCCACAGAACAAGCATTGGCGGTGCCCGACCCTTCTTCTTCTTCTTCTTCTTCTTTTTTTTTTTTGTTTTTTTTTTTGTTGGTACCCATTAGACAGATGCAAAACCAGGACTCAGCTGCCAGAGGGATTTGATCAGGATTACAGGGAACAAATGGCGGGCAGGTGCTTCCTGGCTTCAGAGTGCTTTCCTATAGGCAGCATAACTACAGGTGTACCCCAACGTCACGTCTGGCCATGTGGGGAGAGGGCGAGAAGGGGAGACAACCCCTGCCCTCAGAGAGCCCAGGTGCCAAGCCAAGCATCACTCACTGGAATGGGTTAAATGATAACACAGGAAAGTGAATAAAGAATGAACATGTGACCTTCACCTTAAACTCTGCCTTTCTGGTATGTCTTATTCTCAGGCAATCATTTATTCATTCGTCAAATGTTACCTTGGAAACCATGCTCTGGGGCCACTGTTCTGTAGTTAAAGTGCTCCTAGTGTAGTGGGAGAGACATGGCTTCACTATGTGATATGAGAGATCCAGGGTGGCTTACCAGAGGTGGTGATGTTTGAGCCGGTGTTGAAGAAGTGGGATTCAGCAGGGGTGGAGGTGGGCTGGGGAGTGGGCGCAGGCTTCCTGGGTAGAGGAAGAAGTGTGCCCAGACACTGGGGTAGGTATGAGAGACAGGGTGGGTAAGAGGTGAGTGAGGGAGGCCTTGAATGTTAATTTTGTTTTTTGGTGAACATATTTTATTGATTTTTTACAGAGAGGAAGGGAGAGGGATAAAGAGCTAGAAACATCAATGAGAGAGAAACATCAATCAGCTGCCTCTTGCAACACCCCCCCCACCACCACACACACACACACACACACACACACACACACACACAGGGGATGTGCCCACAACCAAGGTACATGCCCTTGACTGGAATCGAACCTGGGACCCTTCAGTCCACAGGCTGACGCTCTATCCACTGAGCCAAACCAGTTTCCGCTTGAAAGTTAAATTTTATTCTGCATACAAGGAGAAGGCAATCAAGAGTCATTCCTTTAATAAAAAGGTACTAATTCATTCCTTTAATAAAAAGGTACTAATCGAGCAGTTACTATGTACCGATTGTTCTAGATGTTGGAGATGTGGCAGAAAACAAGACAGACAAAAGTCCTTGTCCTCATAGAGTCCACAATTAAAAGAGGAAAGAGATGATAAACAAAAATAAACGACTAAGTAACATATATAATGATGGTAATATACTATGGAGAAGATAAAGTAGGAAAGAAGGAATAAAGGGTGCTGGGTTTAAGGTGGGAAATCCAATTTTATTTATTTATTTACTTATTTGAGAGAGAGAGAGAGAGAGAGAGAGAGAGAGAGAGAGAGAGAGAACAACTTGTTGTTGCTGTGACCTGCACAGCAAGTTCAGGATGACTTGCAGGAGGGCCGACGACACAATGAGTACTCTGTACAAGAAATATGAATTTTGCCGAAACCGGTTTGGCTCAGTGGATAGAGCGTTGGCCTGAGGACTCAAAGGTCCCGGGTTTGATTCCGGTCAAGGGCATGTACCTTGGTTGCGGGCACATCCCCAGTAGAGGGTTTGCAAGAGGCAACTGATCGATGATTCTCTCTCATCGATGTTTCTAACTCTCTATCCCTCTCTCTCCCTCTCTGTAAAAACTCAGTAAAATATATATTAAAAAAAAGAAATATGAATTTTGAAGGCATGATGGTGGGGTGGGGGGAGCAGGTAGAAACCTGTTGCTTGAAGAGGAACCAAGAAACCGGGTCCATCTGCTTTTTATTCACTTTGAATACACATTTGCTCTTCAGAGGTAAAGTTTGGTAAATTAAGGATTATCAGGTCAGGAAATCACCTGGAGCCATTGCAATCACAGCAGGAGCAAACTTGTGCTGCTATTCAGCATTGCAAAATATCAAAGTCCATTCGTCTTCCAATGTCTCTTTTGAACTTTTATGCTAATATTGTTTGCTTTAGCCTCCAGCAGTTGTTTCACTTATTTATGCATTCATTGGTTGTTGTTTGTTTGTTTTTTGTTTTGTTTTTCCAGGAAAAAACCCTGCAAACTTGGGGGCATATATATGGGGACTATGCTCTAACCAACTGAACTACCTGGCCTGGGCAAGGTGGGAATTCCAATTTAAATGAGAAGGCCCAGGAGGCCTGAGAGGGTGGTATTTGAATAAATAAATATCTGAAAGAGGTGAGAGAGGGAGCCATGAATATCTCTGGGAGAAATCATTCTGGGCAGAAGGAACATTATGTGCAATGACCAAGAGAAATGAGCATGTTCGAGAAAAAGCAAGAAGGCAAGGATGGTTGGAGCACTGTGGTGAGGACGAGCTCCTCCGAGCTCACGTCAGAGAACTGAGGGAGGGGCCTTGAAAGTGATAGTGTCCTTTGGCTTTTAGTCTCTCCCTGGCGTGGGAGCCACAGGAGGGTTTTGAGCAGAGGAGGAACGAGATCCATCTTGGCTTTAACAGGATTACTCGGACTGCTGAGTGGACAATAGATTGAAGGAGACACGAAGGAAGTAGAGACATCATTTAGGAAGTGGTTGCAATATCTCAGGTGGTTAGGTCAAAGGTGATGACAGAGGTAGTGATGAGACGTGGTCATGTTCTGGATACATTTTAAAGGTAGAGCCACAGAGGAAGAGAGGATTCAAGGATGATTGGAGTGAAGGGTTCTGTTTTTTAAATATATTTTTATTGATTTCAGAGAGGAAGGGAGAGGGAGAGAGAAAGAAACATCAATGATGAAAGAGAATCATTGATCGAATGCCTCCTGCACACCCCTACTGGGGATTGAGCCTGCAACCTAGTCATGTGACCTGAAATTGAACTGTGATCTCCTGGTTTATAGGTCGATGCTCAACCACTGAGCTATGCCAGCCGGGCTTGGAGTCAAGGGTTTTGACCTGAACACCTGGAAAGATGGTGTTACATTTGCAAAGGTGGAGAAAGAACTCGAGGAGGAGCAGGTTGAAGGTGGAAATAAGTCAGGATTTGGGGTTTGGACCTATTAAAGTTTGAGTTGCACATTAGACTTCCCAATGGGGAGGGCAAGTAGGCCATTGCCTAGGAGAGTCTAGAATTCATAGGGGAGGTCCAGGCTGGAAGTGGCTGGCATGGAAGTTTCTCAAAGCCAGGGAAGAGGCCCCTTTGTAGCATCAAGGACAGCTGGCTGTAGCAGGCTGCTGTGGTATCTAGGAGAGAGACCAGAGACCGTGATCTGAATAAAAGCGGGATCTGTTGGACTGCAGAAGAGTGTCGAAGGCACTCAAGAATTTATTTAATATCACTATAGTTTATTTCAATAATTAAAAGAGTGTGTCTGTTGTAAAACATGAAAACAATGACAGATATTATGAACTAGAGGCAACAGGCCCTGGTGACTGTGCAGATGAGAGCAGAACTGATGCTTGGGAGAGGAATAGATCCAGGGGAGGGGAAGACTTCAGACCAGGATGTGTAGCCCGACATCCAGGAAGACATGTAGATAGATGAGGGTCGGTGTGGACACCGGCTGGAGCTGTGGGAGGCAGGGATGGTCTGTTTTGTGTAGAGATGGAAGTTGTGAGCCACAGTCCAGGGTGTGTGTGTGTGTGTGTGTGTGTGTGTAAGAAGAAACAAGGGCTAAAAGTGGAAGTGGAATATTCCCTCACACATGAGGGATGGGCAGAGACAGAGGAGCCAGAACATGGCAGGGGCTAAAATAGGCACTGCTACACCAGATGCCTTGTGTCCCCAGAGCAGCCAGCTTCCTGGAGTGTGGAACCCCTTCTCAGAGGCAGGGCGTTTGAATCGGTGGCCAGGGGCAGAATAGCACTTAGTGCTATCACAGCGCTTATTGTCCTGGGTGCCTGTCCCTCATTAGAGGAAGGAAAGGAACCGGGTCATGGTCTCATCACTTCCAAGGCTGGCACAGTGTATTGTGGAATGAATGGCAAACACCTGCATGCTGGAATGAGCAGTGTTCCCATAGAGGGGCAGCGCTGTGAGAATAGCTGGGCTTTTAACACTCCTAAGTCCTCTCTGTTTCTATTGCACAGGCTGGGCGGGTGAGGCAACCCCTTGCCCACTGGATCCCAGATATTGATAACTGCTGCCATCTGCTGGTCATGAACAGTGTTGCCTCACCAATGCCATCACAGCTCAGTACCCATTTGCCCAGGTTGGGATGACTGACAGTCAACCCCTACCTTTCAGAAATCTGTGGACTGGTGGAAGAGACACCTTGGCAATGACAAGACAATGATGGGCAAGTATAGGGCTGTAGGAGTCTGGAGGAGGAAGAGGAGGCAGCTTTGTGTTTTTTGTGTCTTCCTGTTTTATGTCCATTACCTGGAAACATTCCTAAGGGCAGAGGAGCAAACATGCCTGGTACATGGAATGTATGCATGGAAACATGCCTTGTACATAGTATGTGCTCAATAAATATCTGTGGAATGAGTGAATGGAAAGCCCTTAGAAATGTTTGACAGCCCACTGGCAGCCAGGACTATGCATGAGGAAGGCACTGGATAGGGCGGGAGGGCGGCCCTGCAGGAGCCGAGCCCATGTAAGGAGGGCATTTAAGTCAGGGGAGCCCAGTTGTTTTTGGAGATTAGCTACATACAGGGGGACTGAAAAAATTATGAAATATATTGAAGACAACTGTGGCAAGGGGGTAAAATATGTAAAGGAGGAAGGAAAGCTGGGAAGAACCCCATGCTGTTGGATTAGAATTTAAGCTCTAAATGTAAATTTTCCCCCATATATGTAAATTGTATTAGTTAGGGTTCTCCAGAGAACGAGAACCAATAGAATAAATTAGAGAAAGCGATTTATTGTGTTGAATTGACTCACAGATTACAGAAGCTGAGAAGTCCTACTCTCTGCCATCTGCATGCTGGAGACTTGGAAAGCTGGTGGCACAGTTCCAGTCTGAGTACAAAGGCCTGAGAACCGGGAACACCGATGATGTGAGGACCAGTTCCAGGGCAGGAGAAGACCAGTATCCCCCCTCAAGCGGTCAGGGAGAGAGAATTCAACTTTTTCTTTCTACTCAGTCCATCAGCGGATTGGATCTGGCTCACCCATATTGGGAAAGACCATCTGCTGTACTCAGTCCACCAACTCAAAAACCACTCTCTTCCAGAAACTCACTCAGAAGTCATGTTTAACCAGTCAACTTGACACGTAAAATTAACCATCGCATAGATTAAAAAAATAAATGAAGTTGTGTGTGTTTTTGTGTGTAAATGTGGGCTACTGAGTGGGCTGGGGAGCAGAGATTACCCTAAATGCAACAAGCACACCTAAAACCAGATCTTGGTTTTTAAGTACTATTTGCCATCAACACACACACACACACACACACACACACACACACATACGCCCTCTTGCAGAAATGGCTAATTCTAAGGCTGGGGCAGGGTAAAACCAGAGGAGCCTGCACTATCTTGTTGAGCCAGAAAGAAAGGCAGTGTTCAAAGGACGATGTCACATATCAAAACGGCAAGAGGTCAGCAAGGGGCACCCATTGACCAAACCGAAACCTTGTACAATGTGAGCATTGAAATAAATGATAGGAATGGGTTCTAATGCATTCAATAAAATAGGAAACCAGAAGTCCATTTGATATAAATAAATGAATAAATAAATGGGGGTAAAGAAACAGTTCTTTGCAATAGGATGCCAACAAATCAAGTGTAGACGAAATGGTGAAATTAGGAAAGTGTCATTGCAATGGATCCTGAAACCTATGGGTGAAAATGGGATGAAGAAAAGGAAGTTTCAACATCTCAAAGTAACTCCATTCCCCGACACTTATCAATCATGATCAAGAAATCAACATTCACACTACCAGTTTTGGTTCCGAATGATTTTGGATATGAGAACACAGCTTCATCATTTCTGTGATTTATCTTCACAAAATGTGTAACAGTGGTCTAATCATGAGAAAGGTTTGGACAAACCCAGGGCGAAGGACAGTTTTAAAATAACTTCTCTGTAATCTTCAAGTGTGTCAAGGTCGTGAAACTCAAAGGTTGTAAATTGTTCTAGAATGAGGGAGGCTGGGGAGATATGACAACTGGTACAACGCTTGATACCATATTAGATTCTTTTGAACCCTAAAATAATATTTTTTTGGACATCAAAGACTAGTATGAAATTGTTTCCAAATAAAAAATTAAAATTAAAAAATAAATAAACATGGCAAAGGTGTTAGCCGTTTGCCTGGCTGACGCTTGCTGACCTGCTGGATTCATTTCAGACAAGCTCCTGAGGAACCCACTTTGACTAACTGGGAATGAGGGGCCCTTGTGCTCCCACTGCCCCTGGACCTCCAACACCCCTTTCTGAGTATATCTGCTTTGCCTTTACTAGCCCTGGAGACCCCTGTCTGGATCATGGAACAGAGTAGCCTCTTGAAACGCCTTGAATCTCAACAAAGGGGTGTCACATTAAGGCAGTGGTTCTCAACTTTTCTAATGCTGTGACCATAAAATTATTTTGTTGCAACCCTGCTAGCGGTTCTCAACCTGTGGGTCACAACCCTAAGACCATCGGAAAACACAGATATTTACATTACAATTCATAACAGTAGCAACATTACAGTTATGAAGTAGCAATGAAAATAATTTTATGGTTGGGAGTCACCACAACGTGAGGAACTGTATTAAAGGGTCGTGGCATTAGGAAGGTTGAGAACCACTTGGTTAGAGTATCGGCTCCTGGACCGAAGGGTTCAATTCTCAGTCAAGGTACCTCCGTGACAGGTTCCCCATTGGGTGTGAGAGGTAACCAATCAATCTGTCTCTCTCACATCCATGCTCTTGCTCTCCCTTCCACTATCCTCCATCCCTTCCACTCTTTCTAGAAATCAATGGAAAAATATCCTCAGGTGAGGATTAAAAAAAGAAAAAAATGTTAGGAGGAATGTGCCAGGAATGGTTAAACTTTTTTCTTGTTTTCTGCTGAGGTGAGGTTACAGTTATATGTGTGGAAATGCCATCCAAGGTATCAAGATGCCAATCCTTCAAGTTGGGGGACTGGGCACCTGTTTCTCAGCAATGGGGCAGCCCTGGCTCTGTCCCTTCTTTCTCCTTTCCTGCTGTAGGTAGAGCGCCCCCTTTGGGTAAGGAATGTAGAGAGGCCCGGGGCCTGGCTGCAGGGTTCCAGGATCTGGGAGAGGAGGCAGGGACCCGCCTGCCTGCCTAAGGCGGGGCTTAACAGGGAGTGCCGTGCCAGGAAGGGAGGGCAAAGGGCTATGTCCTCCACTTGCCTCACCCCGCTGACAAGAGTTCCTGTCACCAGCCACCTTCTCTGTCTGGGGCCCTTGAGGGGTAAGTAGCCTCCTCAACCCACCTTCTCTCTTTCCTCGGGGTCAGGTGAGAACTCCCTTCCTCCTTGGGGGTCCAAACATGTGCCCTCTCTGCTTACCCTTCAGCCGGGCATGGGCCACACCTGCTACCCTTCACCATGGCAGAAGGCCCCTGCTTTCCTTTCACAGGTCCCCGAGACTGGGAAATGAAGCGGCAGATACGGAGTGTCTTAGAACCTTCCCTTCCTGCTATCGGCTCAGGGACAAGGCCAGGGCGGAAGGGCCTAGAGAGGGGCACCTCAGCCAGGCAAGCCCAAGATCACTGTTCCCTCCTCTCCCACCCTGCAACAGAGCCCAGAATCCTAAGCGGCGGGAGCACTGGGGGACACCCAGACAGAGCCCTCGCTGGACCGAGTGCTCCAGGAGCGGGATGAAGCCATTGCCAAGTGAGAGGCAGCTGCCTGTGGGAGTTGCGGGGGCAGTGCCGGCTCACCCTCAGGGCTCTGTCCGGCTGGAAGAGGGGCGGGGGAAGGCAGGCATTCCTGGAAGAAACGCCACACCAGCAGCTTTCTGTGTCACAAGGCAGGGGCTGTGGCCATATCTGCCCACCCCCCGGGGCCCAGCATCAGATCTGTAAGCCCTGGGTCTCAGGCTGTTCTCTCTGCCACCTGCAGGAAACAGGCTGTGGAGGCTGAGCTGGACACATGCAAAGCCAAGTTACGAGCTGCAGAGGCCCAGCTGCTGGAGGTCCTGGAGGAGAAACTGAGGCTGAGGCAGGAGGCGGAGGCCTGGGAGGTAGGGTGGGAATGCCAGCTGGGCCCGGGAGGGACAGGGAGTCAGGCCCTGAGTCTGCCTGTGAACCTTCTCTCCTGCCCCCAGGAGGACATGCAGCGGCTGGTGAGGCAGCTGGTGGAGAGTCAGCTGCAGAGAGAGTCCAGCAGCACTCGGAGAGCCCCCACGCCGCCCGGAACAGCCAGGACCCCATGGGTTTGGTTCCCCCAGCGCTGGCGGGGGCGTTGGTGGTGAGAGCGCTCAGCCCAGAACCTTGAGAGAGCAGTATCTTTTATTCATTAAAACTTGAGGCCTGACCACCTTCGCACCTCGTGCCCTCTCAGTGCCCACCTGAGTCCTTCTGTGCAGAAACAGGGAACAAGCTGCAGGGCCTTGACACCTGGGGCTTCAAACGTGGCCCCTCTGGCCGGCAACTCTCAGGCCAGGAAGCTTCGGATGGCAGCCATGAAGTCATGTGGGCGGTCAGCGTGGACCCAGTGCCCGGCATCCGGCACGATCTGTATCTGGGCCCCAGGGAAGAGTCGCTGAATCTCAGGGTGGTGACTGGGACTGTCAGTCGAGGAGAAGGCCGCCAACAAGGGGTGAAAGTGGGGAGATGGGAAGAGAAAGAAAAGCGAAGGCACATCAGGAAGAGGTGGAGAGCTATACGCCCCGTGGTGTTTCCAAGCTCTCGGGAGCTCACTGCCCCCACCCAAACCCTCCCCACGGCAGGCTCCCCCTAAGCCATGCCCTGTCTACCACTCAGCCTGGCTTACTGCACGAAGTCAGACTTTCCACCGAGGAGGAAGAGGGTAGGCCCAGGGTAGGACTCTTGTTGTGGCGGGAAGGCCAAGATCTCATCCACATGCTGGGCCAAGGCATCCAAGTTCACTCTCCACACAAAGCGCCCGTCTGCCTCCACCAGGTTGGTGAGCAGGAACTCCCGCACGGCCGCGTCCTGTGGGGGGGAAGGGGATGCAGGAGGGGGGAGGGAGGGCTCCCTGTGAGACGTGGGCTGCCACTGGTCTCTCGACAGGTCCCGACCCAAACGACCCAGGGCCTTGAAGGTATCACCTGAATATGAGAGCTGAGCTTTTTATCGGCCAGTCTGCGGGCGGAGGAGCGGGACATCTTCTCTGGGATGTCTATGGCCTTCATGGCTGCCATGTAGGCTGGAAAGTTCGAGCTGGTTATAGTGTTCACTGGGCTGATGTCCACGGCAACCAGACGTTCCACCAGCTCCGGCTGCGGGAGAGAACTGGACTGGCAATGCAGCCTTAGGGCACACACAGAGGGTCGCAAGAGTGGCTTACTTTTTCTTTTCTTTTTTTTTTTTTTAATATATTTTATTGATTTTGTACAGTGAGGAAGGGAGAGAGATAGTTAGAAACATCGATGAGTCATCCATCAGCTGCCTCCTGCACACCCCCCACTGGGGATATGCCCGCAACTAAGGCACATGCCCTTGAGGGGAATCGAACCGGGGACCCTTCAGTCCCCAAGCCGACGCTCCATCCATTGAGCCAAACCGGTTTCGGCACGCACAGAGGGTCGCAGGCCTGGTTCCCCGGTCCTGAACTTGGCCGCCCCAGGCTCCTTTGAGTCTCAGGTTGCCAGCTGGGCACTCAGGATCTACACTGGATGGGAGGAGAAGCCCTGGATAAGGTCGGCTCACCCTCTGCAGTGCCAGCAACATGGCTGTCTTGCCTCCCATGCTGTGGCCAATGAGGACACAGGGCGCTAGGCCCAGCTGGGGCAGGAGGTCCTGCAGGTCCTGGATCATGGCCTCGTAGCTCATGTCTGGGCTGTGGGGGCTGTCACCGTGGTTCCGGGCATCCACTGTCAGCACCTGGGGAAGGGGGTGAGAGGGGGCAGCACTGGCATTCACACTGGGGCATGGACAGCCAAGGGGGTGGGGAACCTGGAGAGAGATCCTAAAGCAGAAGAAGGACTCAAGTAGTGAGAAGGCCCAGTTCCCAGACCTAGGAGGCCCAGATGTAGAACCTGGGGTCACGGATACAAAAGAGAAGACCCAACGAGCGTGACCACATCTCTGAAGGTCTGGCTTGGCTGGGTAGCAACTCCAGAGAAAGAAGACGCCAAGAATTTCCAACAGTTGAAGCACAGGAGGATGGTCTGCTCTGAGAGGCGATAAGTCCCCTGTCATCCTTGGTGAACAAGCAAGGGGCTGGCCCCCGGCGCGGAGAGGGTGACTGCAGTTAAGCATCGGACAGTGGAGCCTCACTCAGTTTGGAGCTTGCAGATGAAGATGGACTGGATGGATGGAAGCCCCAGGGAATGAATGCAGGCTGCATCTTTAGAAGGTCAGCCTCTCTTTTCAGAAAGACCTGTCCCTGTAACCTCTAGCGTCCCTCCTAGCTCTTTCTCTGTCACCTGTCACTGCTCAGCCCGGTCCCAGCGGTGAGGGTAGAGGAGCTGGCCCTGTCTCAGCCTCATCCCCCCCCCTCCCAATCCCCGCCCCCTTCTCCCACCACCTCCCGCGGGACTCCGCCTCTCCCGGAAGCTCACCCTCCGGCCTGTCTGCTGAGCCAGGGCCTTGGCGATAGACTTGAAGTTGGTTTTGCTGCCGAAGAGCCCGTGCAGAAAGACGAGGGCTGGGTGGCCCGCCTCCCCATCCAGAAGATTGTAGGAAAGCGGCACCGATCTCCTGGAAGGGGCGAGGATAGGGGCTGATCGGAGCCGACAGGGGGAGAGGTTTGGGGGAGCGGCCTGGGGCCCTGGGGGGAGGCGGGCCCAGCGGAGGAGGTGGGGCCGTCGGGTCCGCACCGGAGAAGGAGGAGGAGGAGGAGGAGGAGGAGGGTTCATGGACGGCCTCCCACTGGGTGCCCTTGACTGACCTCGGCTTGGCGCCGCTCCGGCCGCTGCTGCTGCTGGGCGCGACGGGCACCCTGGAAAAGTAGATTCCGGGGAGCTCGAGCCCCCCATGGGGGAGCCTCCAGGTCCGAGCCCAGCTGAGCATGCCCGGGAGCCGCACGCACCCCGCGATCACGTTCTGTACCGAGCCCCGCCCCGTTCCCATCGGAGCTCCGCCTTCTGCCCGCCTTCGCTCCCATTTCCTGACGTAATCCTAGGGAGCTGTCAATTCCCCCCGCCCCGCCCCTCCGCGGGGCCCCGCCCTGGCCTCGCCCCGGCCTGGGCCGAGCCGCCAAGGATCCGGCCCCGCGTTCCGGGAACCCGGTCCTAGCTGCTCTGGATGTCCTGTTGTTTTTTGTTTTTTTGTTTGTTTGTTTTTAAAAAATATATTTTTATTGATTTTTTTTTATAGAGAAGAAGGGAGAGGGATAGCTAGAAACATTGATCAGCTGCATCCTGCACACCTCCCACTGGGGATGTGCCGCAACCAATGTACGTGTCCAGAATCGAACCTGGGACCCTTCAGTCCGAAAGCTGATGCTCTAGCCACTGAGTGAAACCGGTTTCTGCATGGATGTCCTAGGTTTTGATGCGAGCTCTGGGCGGCCGCGGGATAGGCTCTTGGCTGGCCTAGGAGGCCCTGCTTGCACCCGCACCCGGAGCCGCACCTGTCCGCTCTCCTGCCCTCACCCACCGTCTTGGGTGGGTGCCATACTTTGTGTGCCGCCCACGGGGGGTGGGAGGGGCGCGGGAGGAGACCTGGGGTTGGCTCCCAACGTCAGAGCTACTGCTAGGAGGCACAGGATGGGGAGGAGGGCGCCGGATGGGCTGGAAGGAGAAACCTCTTACCCATCCTGAATCGTGGACTGGAGAAAGAGCTAGGAGGAACTAGTCTAGAGTTATCTTCAACCATCTCCCCACCCCGTTCTTTACAAACGGGGAAACTGAAGCAAACCGGAACCTCTGGTCTGCCATTCATAATGCGAGTCAAAAGTGGGTGTTTGTACTGGGGGGGGGGCATCTGAGTTGAAATGACTCAGATCTTCTCCCTACTCCCTCCTCCCCGCTTTTACAATCCTTCCACCACTAGATCTCAGCGCATCTTGCAGAGAAATCGCCTTTCTTTGGAACGCTGAACCGCTGCCATCTTTTCTCCCTCGTCTGTGATAGAGGTGGCATTGGTGGTATCATCTCAGGTCTCAGTTGGCTTCCACTGCAGCCCATCCTTCAGCAGTTTGCAAGAGTGGCTTACTTTTTCTTTTTCTTTTTTTTAAATATATTTTATTGATTTTGTACAGTGAGGAAGGGAGAGAGATAGAGAGTTAGAAACATTGATGAGTCATCAATCAGCTGCCTCCTGCACACCCCCACTGGGGATATGCCCGCAACTAAGGCACATGCCCTTGACCGGAATCGAACCCAGGACCCTTCAGTCCCCAAGCCGACGCTCCATCCATTGAGCCAAACCGGTTTCGGCTTACTTTTTCTTTTTAAAATTGTTTTATTTAGGGAAATGGTAAGATATGCATACAGATAATTTAATGTAAAAAAGGGGAAAAAATAAAATTATTCCTCAGGCAACTGAAAAAAAATTAAAAATTTCCTTTATTGTCTTTAGAGACAGAGAGAAGAAACATTGATTTGTTGTTCTATTTGTTTATGCATTCTTTGGTTGGTTCTTTTTTAAAAAAAATGTTTTAATTGATTTCAGAGAAGAAGAGAGAGGGACAGATAGAAACATCAATGATGAGAAAGAATCATCGACCAGCTGCCTCCTGCATGCCTCACACTGGAGATCAAGCCCCCAACCCAGGCATGTGCCCTGCCTGGGAATCAAACCATGAACTCCTGGTTTATAGGTCGAAACTCCACCACCGAGCCATTGGTTGATTCCTGTATGTACCCTGACTAGGGATAGAACCTGAAACCTTGGTGTATCAGGACAGGGCTCCAACCAACAGCTACCTCACCAGGGGGAGTGGTTGCTCTTTCTATAGCATCCTTTGGCTCAGCACCCTTCAGGGACTCCCCATAGTTGAAAAGGTTGAAACTTAATCATCACATCCCAAGCTTCCCCCAGGACGATTGCATTTCCACCCATGCTCCCCCTTCTCTTACTCCCCAAGGAAGCACACTGAGAACTACACTGCACATCTCCCTTTAGATCTTTACCACAGAGACCCACTCCCCCTGCTGGGATGCTGTGCCTGCCTTCCAGAGAGCCACGTGCCAGGTTCCAGGATAACGGCCACCTCCTCCGCAAGCCTTCCCAGATTCCCCTGGTTGAAACGAATTTCTTTTACCGCATGTTCTAAAGCATTCGTCAGAGTGTACTCTACAGTATTATAGAGCAGCCCTTCTCTGTGTCCACCACAGGCCCAGAGTCGTGTTTTGTTCATCTGGTGCTAAGTGCAATGGTAATTTTACTGGATGATCTTGGAGAGATCCAGGGCAGTGGCTGAGGCTTAGGTGAAGGTTGAGCTGGTGGCTGGATCTGTGCCCCTTCCTGGAGCTGACACCTGGGCTTGCAAGGGTTACACGGGCCTTCCTCCCCCTTTAGGGAATGCTGGGTGGAACCGGGACCAGTAGGAGGCGTTCTAACTACTCTAAGGCCTCATAAATAAAGGGCTCCCACTTTGAGTCAGCCTGAGGGCTGGCAGGTGTTTTTGTTCTAATCCGAGGAGGGCTTTCAAGTCACAGGTGGTGTAATCGTTTGTTACCAGCATAATAATCATTAGGGAAGCGATGAGGACATCTGAGCCCTGGACTGGGATTGGTCCAAGGTCTGGGAGGGGTCCTCAGGGAGTGGATCCAGCAGTGTTTTTCTAGAGTTGATGGAAGAAGGGGAAGGGAGATGGCATAATGTTGGCGACTCAGAAAGGGAGTATTTTGAGCTGACCCCCACCCTCATGCCAACCTGTCTAGCCTGGTAAACGGAGCCTGGCCCAGGACCCCGAAATCAGCCCCCAGCCAGAGCTCTGGGTCTAAGGGCAGAAGCAACTTTGAGACCTTCCCCTTGTTTCCCCCACCCCCTACCCCCTGCCAGCCCCGGCATGTGGCTGGTTAGGGTGAGATCAGCAAGCAGAAAAACCAGTTGGCTTTTGGAAGTTTGCTCTTGTTGCCACCCGGGAAGAACTCTGGCGATAGTGTGTTGGGGGAGAAGGGTCCACCTGGGGCGCTGCCCACCCCACCCCAGCTTGTTAGGAACAGGCTGGTGGACTCACAGGTGGTGAGAGCCTCCCTGGGGGGGGGGGGGGCAGGGGGCTTCAGTTGCTGGAGGGGAGGCCTCTGAGCCCTGATATGCTGAGGTGATGGGGGGAGAACCGGGCTGCAGAACAACTCACTACCTCCGAGAAGGTCTACCCTTCAGCGGCCCTGTTCCCAGAAGTTCCAGCCTTCCCTGTAAAGTGCAAATGGGGAGGCGGAGGTGGAGTAACCCAGCACCCATCGCTCCGCCCAGCCCTAAAGCCTCCCGAGGCTGAGGGCCTCAGGGGTGTGGCCTGCGGAGGCTGGGACTCTGCACCCCGGAGGCGGCGGCGCCCGATGGGTTAAAGCGGGGAGGCGGCGGGTGTCCTGTAACCGCACCTGGACCAGTATCGGTCACGTGGCCGGGGTTTCACCTGCCCCGCTGAGCAGGGACAATCAGGCCGCTTGTTCCGGGGTTGGTCGCCATGGTGACGGGAGTGCGCCTGGAGAGGTCACGGGGCAAATTCCTGCGGGCCCGCAGGCGGGGCAGAGCTGTCAGTCTTGCAGGGGGTAAGGGGTTGGGGCTCCCTAGGACCCCTGGAGGTTTCCTGTGGAGCTGCCCCCAGGAGCCCCTGTGTGACTGCCCCCCACCTTCTCCCATCTCATCCCTCCCCGCTCCATCCCAGGGCAGCTCCTGTTGCCAGATTTTGAACCCGAGTTTATTAAACTGCCAAGACTTTCATGCACATTACCTCATTTAATCTGCCTTTCCCACGTGGGCGTGGTAATCCCCTGTGTCTCCCCCAGATTTCCTGAGCGCTTTGAGAACATTCGCTGCTTCTTTTCTTCCGTTAACAATCCATCCACACTTTTGGAACCTCTTGACTACCTGCCTTTCTACACACAGGCTCTTGTCTAGACACACCCGTGCAACAAACAACAAACGCATGGACAACACAACAGTGGATTCTGCGGAGTGTTTATTTCTTCAGGGTAGGATGGAGAAGCCCCTAGGAACCATGGTTTGAAGGCAGGGACTGCACAGGGTCATCCATCGCTCTGGTGTCAAGAACATCTCTGGGGGCCTCTCTGCCTCCCTCATACCTCCTACTCATACCTCCTCCCCTCCACACTCCCCCAGGCCCAGGGATCCTCAGGCTCTTACTTTCATCCACTCACTTTTTTGCTCCAGAACCTCTGACAGGCCCTAAGAGCAGCAACTGTTTGTAACTTCCTTTCTCCTGAGTCTCAAGTGGCAGAGTCACTGACCCCCCAGGAACAGTCATCACACCCATAAATTCTTAAAGTGGGTGGGGTGAGGACACCTACCTTTGGAGTGGAGGTGGAAGAGGGAATCCTTTTTTTTTTTTTTTTTTTTTTTTTTTTCTCAAACCCCACCCTCAGAGCTGTCTGCCTGCTCCCCGGAGTCTGTCTCTGTTTTGCTTGTAGTTCAGTTTGTTCATAAAATTCCACATGGGTGAAATCATATGGTACTTGTCTTCCTTTGTCTGGCTTGTTTGACTTAGAGTAAGGTTCTCCAGGTCTACCCACGCTGTTGCAAAGGGTAAAATTCTCTTCCTTCTTACAGCAGAGTGGTATCCCGTTGGTAATGTAACACAGTCTCCCCACTTCCCACCCCACCCACACACAGACTCATCCAGTTGGGCTGTTTCTAGATCTTGGCTGTTGTAAATAACACTGCAGTGAACATAGAGGTACATATATTCTTTCGAATTAGTGTTTCCGGTTTCTTTGGATAAATTCCCAGAAGAGGAATCACTGAGTCATAGACAGTTCCATTTTAAATTAAAATATATATATATGTTTTTATTGGTTTCAGAAAGAAAAGGAGAGTAAGAGAGAGATAGAATCAACATTGATGAGAGAGAATCATCAATCCGCTGCCTCTGCACACCCCAC